ATTAGTTACATGAAAACGAACATTAAACTTTTGTAATTCAAAGATTATTGAGAACTAGGAACTTGAAATTTAAGAGAGAAATCAAATAGCGTAAATATTATTTGAGTTGTGAAAGTGCCGATGGTTCATGAACTGAGCCTATTCAGGTTCTTTATGGTCAAGAACTTTGAAACAATCAGTTGAAGTCCAAGTGGAACTTTGTGTAGGTCAATTTAACGATAAAAGAGTAAGTCAAATTTATCCGATTTCACATGAGATATTCATGGTTAATCGAGATCTTCATGTTCCATTTGATTCTTGTTCGTTATTCGGCTTTAGGAAGCATTGGAAGTCAATTTTTTGTGATCGATTTTCTTAGAAGATGAGGTTTAACTTTTCTGGAAGAATTTTCTGTTCTTGTTCTAAGAACTATTGAATTATTGTCCAGTTTTATTCTTTTGTAAAGTTTTCTTTATCTTCCTGATTGTCCCGAACAGCAATAAAAAATGATTGTACTTGATCTAAATGAGATTAATATATTTTGATGGAAATAAAACAATTAACATCTGAATGGTCAAGATTATGATCATGAGATGGATATTATGTATTAAGTGGACAATTGAAATGTTATGTTTACGTTATCATCAACAATGCTTGATTGTTGTTCTTGATTGTTGTTGTTGTTATTTCAACTATATCGATGGAAAGACAATCAAGTTGAGAAGTTGAAGTTTAGGGTCAATATTACTGAAGGAGGAAGGTGGACGAAAGATTGAAGAGAACAGGGAAATTAAGTTATTGGTAACTTGATAGAAAGAGAGAGAGAGAGAGAGAGAGAGAGAGAGAGAGAGTAGAGGGAGCAAGTAAGGTGGGTGAATATTGAAAGATAAGATGATGAGGATAAAGAGAAGGAGATGAAGGAGAGAGATGCAATCTTGATATGTGAGTTAATCAACCAGGAAATAAGGAAGTGAAAAGGCTTCAGAAAGAGGTGGTGGTGGTGGAGGAGGAAGAAGGTACCATTGGCAAGGAAAATACAGCAAAGGAAAAGTGGACAAAGTAAACTTTCACTGGACAGTGGATGTTAGTTTGATGAAGATTCTGAAGGAAAAAGAGAATGTGATTAATCATGGGAAGACAGAACATCAATTTCGAACATTTCCGGTTCTGATGGAACTTTTTTCATCTTTCTTTTTTGAAGGGTCTAAAAAGGTGATGGAAATAATGAGATAACCAATGTAGACTAGAGAGAGAGAGGGAGAGAGAGAAAAATGAGTGAGCTGGATTCAGAAGCAAGAAAGAAGTTGTTGATAGATTGAAGGTTGAGGTCACTTTTTCTTCGTGTCATCGATATTGAAATAATGAAAACTTGAAATCATTGAAACTTTTAACTGTTCATTGATTGCATCTAATTTCTTGATAATATCGATGATGACTATTGATAAATAATTGTGGGTGATGATTAGATGATTAAAGATAATCTTTTGTTATTATTATCATTGTTTATGGTTGGACTTTTTTGTCTTTGTCTTTTCCGTATTATTATTATTATCTATTTGTATGAATTTCCGTTTCCATCTTTATCCTTGTTACTAGTTTTTCCCGATCCATTTGTCTTGATTCATTTCCTTTTCCTCTTTTTTTTCACAATCTCTCCTCAATCCCTCCACATCAACATCATACTGATTACGTGGCTCAGCTTTAGTTTTATCGTTCATATAACCTTTATAATCATCTTCATCTAACAATAAGATTGCAATAGACAAATGACCAATCTACTTATTACTATTCTGCCTGATCAATTGTGGATAACAAATTATCACGCAATCAACAAATCTCAGAATTCATTAGCTAACCTCGCCCAGCTCATCAATACTAAATCATAATCAATTCACAAGAATCATCATCAACCACCAACTTATAATCAACGCCTCTTCCCGTTTCAATACCATGTATCATCATAATCTTTTATTATTATTATTATTTATATTCACTGGCCAGTGGTCAGTTATCACCAACTCTCTCTCTCTTTTTTTGGTATATTAACCGCATCCAAATCCATTCATCATTTTAAGTTATCATTATAATGATCGTTGTTATTATTATCCTTATGATCAACTTTTATCAATTGATATAAACCATAGATTCATATCAATTAACTGAATCATTTTACGTTACAATAAATTAAATGTAACAATTAACTTGATGTTTATATCAGATAATTATAATTGTAATCATAATAATAATAATCATGGGTTTCTGGTTACTACTCAATAGGAAACTCATGATAATAATAAGGAGAAACAATTAAATATAATTATAACAATAAACGTGATCATTTTTTTTTGTTTCAAATTATTATCATTGTTTTAATATCAAAATAAGACAACAAATTGACAATTTAATGCATTTAAATACTCATCATGATGTTGATTAACAATTAAAGTGCAATTAAAGTTTCAATTGTTCTCATAATTGTTTCAATTGTTTCAAGTATCATTTTGTATTCAAATTTCATTTGATTATCTTTCAAATTGTTTGCTTATCCATTATCAAGATTATCGGGAAAAAGTTGATTATTGATTAATTTACTAAGAATTGATTGTAATTAAAGTCAATATAATCTGTTAAGAAGCTTTTTTTTTATATTCCTGATTCAGATTAAATTACTCTTGGTTCATGGTTAATGTAATACAAGGTTGAGAGATTGAATTATTAGTTAACTATTAATTGAAAGTAATCACGTTAATTCAGTTGAGAGGATAGTTGTTACTTGAAATAATCAAAATAAAACTGTAACTAAAATTAAGGTTATAAAGGGAAAGTGAATGGAGAAGATGATTAAGATAATTAAGATGATGAAACAAGTAAATTAAATCAAAATGTGAACCAAGAAAAAAGTGATATTTAATCAAGTAGATAATCAGGAAAGTTTCAGAAAATCATTGACTGGGAACGAGAAAAACCATTACAAACAATTACGATTAATATTGATAGTTGATTAATGTAATGGTGATGATGATTAACTTTGTTTTTCATGTTATTATTCAAAATCAATTGATTCGTAAGATAATCAAAAAAGTTTGATTATCTGATTAATATTCAAATGTTATCATGAAATGATGATCAATTTTCATCTACAATCAAATCGTTATGATTATTGTCATCAATATGATTCTGTTCAGTTTAATGATAATCTCACATTGGTATTGTGGTCTTATTATTATTACGATTATAATGAATACCTTTGAGTTTGCTTTTGTTTCTGTGTATTCATTGAATGTCTTGTTAATCAACTGAATATTCATCATGTACCTGAATCAATATATTAATACATGTATATGAGTCTGGAAGTTTTTTCTGTTCTTCTAATTTTCTTAGTAGTTATTTACAGAGTTTCCGTTGTTCCGTGAATAAAGTTATGACTCCTGAGTAATTTCAAGTAATCTGTAACAATGACATGATTATGGAACATGGGAAAAGATAAACCTAAGAAAATGATTTCTGTCAGTTTCCTATGTAATTAACATAATACACCTGAATATCTCTCGAGGGTTTATCTTTATCATCATCATCATCTAATTCATTTCTTAATCAGAGAATGAAATAAAAAAGTTCCAAGCAATTAGGATTACATATGATAATTAATGATGATAATAATCATATTCTTATAATAGTGATGGAAATGATAAATTTCAATTCTTTGAGCTTTTCGGTTCAAAATCAAGTTCAAATCTTCAGATTGAATGTTCAATATTAACAATTGAGAAATTAATTGTTGATATTCTGATGCTTATCATCAACAATTAAAGTTGGATGGTCAATATAACTCATTGTGTTGATTTTCAATCATAATTAAATGATATTATCATGATAACTGATATGATAATATTATCTAACTTGATCACGAAAATGGCGATATTAATAATTACGATTGTGATAATAATGGATTAATTGTGATTAAAGTTTACCATATTAAGATGCTTATGGTTCTTTTTTTCAACAATTAACTTGTGAGAATTAAATTTAATTATATGTCATTAATTGTAGATTGTATTTTGTTTGGTTGGACTTTGGTTATAATTAATATTCTCATGATTATGATGATGATTAACAATTGTAAGCTAAATATTAGCATTAACATTATTGTGATTAGTATTATGAGTATGTAATTAAGGTAATTGTGATTAACTATTAAAAGTACATATCAATGACGTTTATCATCATTAGGATTGTTGCAGTTGCAATGTCAATCAACTAATGAATTAACCCATTAATTAAAAATAGTTAAGAAAATGTTGAGTAAATAATTAATTCACTTTTCTTGTAATTGGTAAATTTTTTGGATCATCATTCAGGTAAATTAAGGTTTTTTTTTGCTCAAGTTAATTGTTGGATATTAATTTCACAGTGAAAGTGTTCATCTCAATCACAATTTAGCTTTTAATTGTTGATGATTAGTGAAAAATGTTACAAATTAATTTAATTTTACTTTCTTTAGGATTTTATAGCTTTAAGATTTGAAAGAGGAAAAAGTTATTTCCTGTTTCCGTTTAAATGTATTTCTCTTTAATTGTGATTAAGTTAATTTCTTGCCTCTGTTATCAGAGTAAATCATTATCATTAAGGTTAGTTAATTGCGATTAATTATCGGATAGGAAAAAAAAACAAAACTTTTACTTAGATTTTAACCTTAGGGTTAAGATAATTTAACCTTGTTGATTGTTGATCTATCATTGAAATTTAGGTTAATTGTTGATATTTTAGTATCATAACGATTTTTTTGATTTGTTTTTTTTGCCATCAAGTTAATTGCAAGTAGAGATTTAATTGTAATCATTAGTAAGAATCACTAATGATACAATATGTAATTCTGGATCAAGTTAAACGATTTGTTAGTAGCCTATTGTCATTAGGAAATTATTAATGGCAATAAATTGTTGATCTTAACGAAATGGTTTGTATTGAATGATTGATTGGTTAATAGAAATTAACAATTAGCTTGATATTAATTAACTTACTTTGAGCAAAAGGTACGTAAATGTTGAGATAGAGACAATCCTCTGATTGATTGCGAAGATAAGGAATTAATCGTTTCAAATGAGCTGATCTTCCCTCAGGCAAATCAAATGTTGTTGACGATGAAGATGAGGAAGATGAGGATGATGAAGAAGAAGTGGTAGATGATGTGGAGGGTGATGAAGTTGATGATGATTGACCATTGGAATTAGAACTGGAAGATCGATGGCCTTTGTTTTCATCGTCGTTACAATTACATTGTTTTAGATTGATATCTGGTAATTTTTGTGGACAAACTGGACCAAAGCGATTGGACAGTTTAACACCTCGCCAGTGGGTTGGTGTAACTGGGTGCATGAATCGTAGTGACCCAATGGGCGGTGAAGCATAAGGAACACCAAGGAAAACCTCAACCGGTGTCATCGAGGCAAGATTTGATTTGGAAGGGGTAAAGGGAGATGAGGATGAGGATGAGGATGGAGATGGTGAACCTGAAGGTAATGATGTTGTTGATGATGTTGTTGATGGTGAGGGTGAAGGTGAAGATGGTGATGAACGAGATGATCCTGATGGGTAACCAGGTTTATCAATATTCTTGAAGTTAATCACAATTCCCCTTAAGGCACCATATTTGGTGATCACTGAACGAGGTGAAAGTGTTTCAGTTCCATCATGGGGAATATTTGAATTCCCGTTAATTTGTAAGACATTTGAACACAAAAGGAACAAAAATAAAAGGTGTAAACCTTGATAATTATCATGATCATTATGATGACCAACAACAATCAACGAACTGGACATCGTGTAAGTTGATATTAAAATCCTAAGTGGAATCGTAATCGTTTACCAATTAAATGGTTAATCCTTAGTAACCAATGGACAAGGAAACAGAAATCAAAACAAAACAATATAAAAGGAAACAATTAATCAACAATTACAAAAACACTAATTTAGTTTTACACTTTTTGTTTATAATCCAATTTTGATGTTAATCCACAACAATTAAGCTTTTTGGTGTTGACAGAATCACAAGTTTTACTTTATTGTGTAAGTTGATTGTGATTGGTTTGTAAGTAAGTTAACAATTTAGATTAAATTGATTGTTGTTGATAAAATTTGATCAAAAATATGAGATGATATTGGATTAAATTGATAATCAAGAGAAACTTATTCCATTTAAAATGTTTCCATATTAAAGGAAGATATTTTCTATCATATTTTAGACCATGTTGACAGTTTTCTTGGAAGAATCAATGAGAGAAAGAGGAAGAAAAGTTCTAAATCGAATTTAAAATTTTTCGAAATTGAAACAACACATAGAATTCACTGAATAAGAATGAGAAGAAAAACTTTTTTTCTTTTTCGTTCTCGGTGGAAGATAAAAGGTCACCGAATGATGATAAAGATGAAGATAAATCAATTCCCTGGACGATATTTTCTGTGTATTTGAATGTTGATTATTTGACCAAATCAACTGATTCCAATCAATTGAACATCAATCAGAAATAAATAATAAAACTCAACTAAATGGGAAATTTACTAATCAAATGATTGACATTTGTATCATTAGGTAAAAATGATTACTATCATGTTCATCATCATCATGGTCAGTATCATCCTAATCATCTGAATGGGATGAAAATTGGATTAACATTATTACTATTATCATGATAATCATTGTTGTTGATCATTCTGATTTCTTTTCATTGACCATTGGTCATCCTAACCTAAAAAAAAGTTGATGGACGCAAAAAATGAAAAATGATCCTGAGGTTTATTTTTTCAGATTTTGTTTTCTGATTGTTGATGTAATCATAACAACAACATCAACAATGATAAAATATATAAAATATTCAATATTAATATTTAATATTATCACTTAACTGTTAAACTATTATTATGATGATTATTATTCAAGTGAAGATTACTGATTGTATTAAATTGTTGGATGTTAAATTGGTTGAATGGATTCTGATTCTGGACATGGAGTCACTCACAATGGCACCTATTCAATGGTGTCACAATATAATCAATCTTTATAACAATAATAATAATAAATGATGAACAACAATTTAGATCATTGAATTATTTTCTTTTTCCAAAATAAAAGTTTACTCTCAAATTGATTGAATAACTTTAAACTTTAATTCCTGAATGTTCATTGATGATTACACACCGATTTAGATGATTATGATGATGATGATTTGGTGTACAATTGATGATGGATGATAATAATTTCACAAGATTATCAATTTTATTTGATTGTTGTTGTTGTTGTTATTTTAACTGTTTACTAAGTTCATTGAAAGGGTAACATTTATAAACTGACGAAATGATTTCAGGATAAAGTTTGAGACTGTGGGAGTTACTTTGGTAATGGGAGAGTATGATGATTAGAAAAGAAAGAGAAAGAGAAAGAGTGGAAATATTATTGAGGAAAAGGCTGAACAAGATGATGATGATGATGATGATGATAAAGAAGATGAGAAAGACTGAATTCTGAGCAACAATTTTCATCCACTAACTGGGAGTTGAAATGAGAATCCCTCCCAAAGAACCGATAGATGGCTCTATGAATTTCTCTTTCGATTCCTTGGTTAATTGTTCCTTTTATTTTCTCCTAATTGTTACAATTAAATTACATACACTCTCTTCATTAAATCAGCTTAAATTGTCTTACAACTAATCATTTCCTTTGCCATTTTTTTTTACTTTCAATTTTTAATTTTCTTTACTTTTTCTCCTCTTGCAATTTTCATCTAATAATTTAGATTTTTTTTTTCATTTTTAAGTCTCGTTTTTTAATGATAATTATTATTTTTATTTACATACTTGTATTTGATTTTATTAACTTTGTTAATTTTCTCGTAATTTTATTTCCATTCAACTTTAATTGTTAATTTTTCTAAATTGTTTTTTTACTTTGTTCGACTGCTCATAGATGGCGGTTGCTTCTTCTCCGATTGAGTCGATAACTGGTGACATCTTTTGGTCGTTTTTCCAAGTTTTTGGGTTTGTTTTTGTTTTGATGTAATTTCTTTTTAGAGAATTAAAATTGCTAATTTCAACTAAATAAATTACATTTAATCAGTGCTTTTGGTATAAAATTAAAGAGCTAAGTGTGGAGATCAAAATGAATCCAAATAATCAGGTAAGATCGGCAAGACAGAATACCCTGAGACAGAATACTGAATAACACGTTTTTTATATACAAAAATGAACTATGACACTAATAACTTCTCGACAGAATACATTTACTCTTCCTTATTTTAAAGATCCTCCACCAGAATTATATGAACAATACACCAAAATGAAAGACCAAATGTCCAAATTTTTTGAAAAAGGATCCATTGATCACCAAAAAATATCGGACTATTTAAACAATGCACCAGTTCAAGAGATTGAACACTACACCCGACTAATTTTACAACTGATGGAGAATCCAGTTGATGAAAACGGAAAAAGAATGGATAAACGAAAGTTAGAATGGATTAAAAAATTGATATCGACCTTTCAGAAGACGATTCAATTAAGAAATGCTCAGGAAAATGAAGAGTCTGCTACCACCCAATCCGTTATCGCAGAAACAGTTACCGATGAACAACAAGAGGAGACCCTAGAAGAAGAGGAGATTCCCCAAAAGAAACAAAAAGTGATCAAGGACCAAGAGACTCTAAATAAAACAATTCAAACACAAAGAGAAAGTGATATTAAATCACGTAATATCCTCAAAACAACAGCTAATGTTCCAAAAAACTGGTGGCCATGGTCAATGAACAGACTCTACAAGATCAAAGTTACTGGACCCCAGGAAAATAGATCAGTTGATTTTCTCACAGATAGAATCTCGAACTTGGATGTTGAATACCAATTCAAGATCACTAGGTTCAGAGACTTCAGCATCATAATGGTGAATGATGAAGATCAACGATCGGATCTATTTAGAAAACTTAAACAAGAAGAAATAGCAGTTGAGATACTACCATGGAAGAAGCCGCAAATTAAAATCAATTTCCTCTTTCCTCCCATCAACCAATCATGGGAACAACACATAAATCGTATAATGTTCATCAATGGTTTCCGAGACCAGAAACAATTTAATCTAATTCACTACTACGAAATGGGATTAAATACAAACAAATGGGGCGTTGTCTTGGAGGTCTCTCCGGCAATACGCTCGATGTTGGAAACTCGATTAAATGGACGAATCTCATCAGGAGCTAAATTTCATACGGTACTGGATAACTTCCCAGTACTAACATGTAAGCTTTGTCATCGCCTTGGTCATATCAAGCGAAACTGTCGTAATCAACTGAGATGCATAAGGTGCTCTAAGCAACATGTCTCATCAGTTTGCACATCGAAAGAGTATCTTTGTCCCTCGTGTGGCAAGAAAGACCATCAAGCTTATAGCAAAGACTGCAAACTTTATTGCTCGGCTTTGCAAACAATAATATCGGACTGCGATTTTAATTACAATAACTTAATGATGTGAATTTAAGAGCTAACCCGATCTGGCTTTGCTCCATTCACACCACTAATACGATAACAAAATCCAAATAAGGAAATAAGAATATGAAATGAAAATCATTTTAATGATGTATTTGAAATCTGAACAAATAAAATTTTTGCATTATAAGTTTACAATGGTCGCCCAATTGGTAATAAATCGTAATCAGCAAGCTGATAGAATAACAAACTTCCTTCGGTGTAGCGATCAAATAACTCAGGTATTGGCTCATGATAACAACCATTATTAACCTCCTGATATCCACTCTGAGTTTTGATATTGATGCAAGTATGCCAACAACTTGGGACATAAGAAGCATGAGGCTTGAGGTAACGATCACCGAATGACTCTCCAGATTTAGTCTCGTAGGTCATGTAAACGCAACTGAATGCGAACCTATTGAAAACAAAACGCTGATCGTCGATAGTAAGAATCATATGCTCCTCTGGTATTATTTTAAACTCGGGATTTTCCATAAGTGGCCCACGTAAACTAATCGCCATAAAATCGGGTATACGAATCAACTCAAGATCCTCGATGCTGCGATATCCACTCCCGCAAATAACACCGTCGATGACATTGGGACATGTGACCTTGATTGTCTGACGCCAATAAAAAGGCTCAGTCAGAACTTCAGAGATTCTGATAGCTTTTAACTCGACACAAGTATCACCTGGGAGCTCAAGCACTGGAAAATCGTAGGTGAAAGAGTATCGAAAATTTACACAATGTCTACAAATAAAAACTCCTTTAACGGAAAACATATACTTGTTGCGAAAAACTGGATCATTGTTAGCGAGCTTCCGAATGAGATCATAATAGGTATCACTTTCAAGTCCTCCGGGTGTTTCATAGCTTCGGGAACAGAAATCACTTAAATGTCGAAGCATAAGCATCTGGTGATCATCCAGATCCAAATCGTTGTAAGGTCTACTCTTGGTTGGAGGCTTAACTATGACATTTGGAAACAATTTTTTCTCGAGATGAGGAGGTAGATTTTTAATCACGAAATCATCTCTCACAGAAGCTTTTATAACGTCTCTAAGGAAATTGTAGATTACAATGACCCACAAATTAGGTGGTTCAACTCTATCGACTAGATTCCTTCTCTTACGAGGGTTAACGGCCTTTTTGTTTCCTATTGAATCATAGGCCTTTAAGAAGCATGGAAATAAATCATGAACGAAGGTATGTGAATGAAGAAGAGGAAGGAAAGCCGAATTGAAAAAACAGTGGCCTCTCCAGTTGGGTAACGCTGTCAAAACACGAGGCTAAATGTAAAAGAAAAGAAATGAAGAAACATTAGAGTCGCTTGTCGGTAACTGATTTTGCGAAATGAGATCTTACCATTAGTATTGTTGGGTCTCTTCTAATAAGGACATTTATCAGAGTAAAACAACTCATATCATGGGCTTTACGAAAATCCAAATGAACACCAACTCCAGTAAAATTCTTACCATAAGAATTAACCTTGACCTTAACAATGTAGAAAATTTCATCATCTCGATTATAAGTGGTGTATATAAGGTCGGTGATTCGTATGGATCCATTATGCAAAGTGAGAAACTCGCGAACCAATGTAAACTTAGCACCCAATATAAAATAAGTATTCACATATTTATTGAAAAGCGTTGATTTAATGAAACCATTGAACTCACGTAAAGAAAACTCAGGAGGAATCTTTGAAGCCATTATGATGATTTGAAAAAAGTGCCAGGGAAATAGGGTTGTTACTACCTGGCAACCAAATAAACAAAATGAATCAAAAGTTAATTAAAATGTGGATAAAAGTAAATCACATCAACGCAAACAAAATTAGTGACTTAACTCAAAAAACAATTAGCTTAACGCTAAATTCAAGTTACAAGATCACTTCAATTTGTGAGCCAAATTTGAAAGTCTTAAGTGAAAATGTAGACAACAAGTTCGTGTTTGGTAATGCAAATATTGCGATGGTGTGTTCAATGGACCTCAAAGGAAAGATTATAAATAAAGACACGTCGACGAGTATCGCTCTCTACATAAGAGAAAAAAGATTAATCGTCATTGGAATATATATAAGACCATGGAAAAAGAATCATCATGATGAATTGGTCCCAACAATTCACTCGACTTTGGCAAACTTTAAAAACCAATCGATGATTCTCATGGGGGATTTGAACACCTCGGATCCTTATTGGCAAAACACCACAAGAGTACATTCGGCAAGATTGAGAACGAGTAAACATCTATATGACTCATTAATAGATACTCTGAAAGAAAACTCAATGAAACCGATCAGTTGTAATTTTAAATCAACGTTTGAAAGATCAGAATGGGTAATAGATATGATTTTTACAAACCTTAAGGTCGAAAATCCAGAGACGAAGACTACAACATCAGATCACCTTGAACTCAGTGCTGAGGTGGAAATAAAAAATAAACAACCAGTTGATAAACGTCCCACTAAAATAAAGTTATTTGGATCCTGGATACTTAAGTCGGAGCTGAATACTATCGACGGGTTAAATTGGGATAAAAATCATCCGATAGTTGATATTGTCAAAAAGATTATACACTTTCCAGATAATCATGCCAAATGGACCTGGAAACCGAAAAAGAAAAACAGATTTAAAAGATTAATTATTGAAAGGAGAAACATATTGAGAAGAAAATCAATGGGCTGGCAAGAGAAAGTTGCTGAAATATCAGTAGAAATCAAAAGAAAAATGGATTCTTTTAACCTGGTAAAATTATTCAGATCAACAAAAGAAGGGAAAAAAGTGTGGCGACTAATAAAAAAACATCTATTATCATCACCCCCTAAGATAGACTGGGAGAACGAAAACACAATTGAGAGTAAAAAACAATGGTTGACAGGCTTCTCGAAATCTAAACCAATTTATAAAGATCAACCAAGTTATATCAAAGGTCAACTCATGGATCACGAAGTAGACATGATTAAAAACATGAAATTCAAGTCCTCGAGTTTATCGGCAGATAATTTCAACTGTTTCACCTGGACAAAATTTGTAGGGAAAAATATGCAGCTAATCATTGATTTGATGCACAAACTCTTTGAAATATCGCATATTCCAAATTGTATGACAACGGTTGGATGCGGTTTTGTTCCAAAGTCTGGTGGCAAACTCAGAATGGTAAGGACCCCATGTTATTTACTGAAAATTGCTGATACAATATTGGCAAATCGACTTCAAGACATTCTTCCGGATTTTCTTCTTCCGGAAACTCAGTTTGGATTCCAACGAATGAAAAGTAGAGAAGACTTTTATCTAAAAATAATGAAAGAAACGATTAGAACGTCAACAATAGTGAAGATTGATGTAAAAACAGCTTTCGACGATGTTAACCTTGCCAGAATCCGGTGTCGATTAATCGAGAGCGTTGGTCAATCTACATGGTCACTATTGGAATCGATAAATAACAACAGCTGGCTGACTATTTATAACAATGGAGAAAAATTATACAAGAAAAATCCATCGTACGTGTCACAGGGAACAGCAACGGGACCACTACTATTTATAATTGCACTTGATCATTGTATTAGAAGATGGTGGGAAATTGGACTCAAGGTGTATGCCTATGCGGACGATATGGTTTTTATTGTTAATCAACACCAAATTCGGAATCAGCTCAGTCTATTAGAAGCAATTGAAGAAGTTTTGGCGGAGATTGGATTGAAGATAAATAAGGAAAAAACGGAAATCATTGAACCAAAGGACTTTAGAACTTTTGAGCTGGTGGGCTTTACAGCTAATAGAAGGAGAATTAGAATGCAAGAGTTTGAAGGATATATAAATGACACATATGTAAAAGAGATATTACCAAAATTTTCAAAGAACTGGCCATCCATAAAGTACCTGCCACACCAAATAACGAAACTTCTCTTTTCATCCATTGTATGGCCGAGAATATATAAACACTTCATGGCAATGACTCTGGTGGACGCTCCGCTGTACATAAATATGATCGAAATTGTAGGATCGCTAGTAAACAGATTTATGGGAAGAGTAAATCAATCAAAATGGAGCTACCTAATTCTGTGGGGGTATCCGAACTACATTGGCAAATTAATCTTGGATCAACTAGAAAGAAAGGCGAAATTAACTGGTAGGCTGAATGACAGGAGATGGTTATCAAAGAAATGGATTCCAGTTGGACAGATTGAGAGCCGAAAGGTGGAAACAGGAGATAAGATTGTGACCTACAGAGTCAGAAACGGGAAAAATAGAATAGAAATATCAGTTAAAACTATTACTCTAAATAGAGAAAGGATACTTACGATTTTAATTCCAGGAAGAGCCACGGAGTATGAAGGAAAATTAATAGCTGTTGATTTAATCTTAAAGTTGTATCGAAATGAGAAAATCACTTTGGAACTGGATGAGCAATCATCGAGATACTATCGAGGACAATCTCAATTTGCGATAAACATGAGGATGATTCTGGATAGCCCAGGGAATTGGAGATTCAAATTGTACCAACAAAGACAATGGACAGACGGGGAGATCGGATTGGAGGTACCCGCTCTGAACAAACCAATAACCATATTAGCACAAAACCGGATACTAAAACAGACAATGGAAAGAGAGATGGAGAACAATTTCAGGAAATCAAAGACAAACCTCAGTAGATTGAACTTACAATTTAAATCCAGACTATCATGGCAACAAAAAGTAGCAGTCATGGCGATAACTAAACACTATATAATCCCTGAATGCTGTGGAAAAACAGTTACTGCTTATCATATTATCCACGAATGTGACAAGAAACTAAGAGAATATCCGAGGTTATTTGAAATGCGATGGAAAAGAGTCGAAAAATGGGACGAGGAAGACACTATGACAATTAACATGATTGTAAACAAAATGAAAATTGAACAAAAAATCTTTTCTTTGTGTTCTCTGTCATTCGGTGGCTCAGATGACCGATCGAGGGCAGCACTTGAGGCTGCTCAGTCTTCGGACGACTGTAATTAGTCACCTCTTAGAGGACCAATAAATTGATGTAACTTAGAATCCAAAATTTGGATCTTTGAATTGAGTGATTATTTTGTTCTGGTTAATTGATTGTGATTCAATAAATTATCTTCATTTTCAATTGGATCATCTGATTTTCTTTTGATACGTCAAGTGTTTTCTCGGTAAGGCTCAAGATATGTCCGTAAGCTCAACTTTTTTACTTTCAGCTGACTTTTTTTCGGCTTACGATTCGCGGCTTTTTAGGAAAATGATTTAATTTAATTGATTAGTCGATTAATTCAGCAATCTAAGATTATTTGACGCCTTGTGGGTATAGCGGGTACATGTTAGTCCACATTTAACAATGAAATAAAATGATTAGCGGAAGATGTGGCTAATCAGCTGTCGACAGCTAACATTACATTAATTGTGTGATAGTTTGATTGTCTCAGGCCCTCCGGGCCTTCCTTTGTCCATGGTGACCCTTAATAGTGAAAACCTAACCTAACCTAATTTAAACAAACACAATTAATTGAGAAATTCAGTTAACTTCCATATGTAGCTGTAATCGTAAGCCGAAAAAAAGTCAGCTGAAAGTAAAAAAGTTGAGCTTACGGACATATCTTGAGCCTTACCGTTTTCTCTTCCCTCATTTCGGTGAGTAATATTTTCTATGAGTAAGTGTAAGTGATTTATCACTGTTCTTGTTGTTTACAGTCTCTTTCAAGTCTGTCTGTTTTTCTGTCTTTTCAATTTCATCTTTATCTTTTTTTTTCAATAACAAATTGATTACTGGTTATCTATTAGGTGTCTCCTATTTATTTTTTAATCTTCTATTTAGTTATAAGCTTCTACTTTCCACTGTTTCTGTTTTGGGTCATCTTGTTATCTTCTTTTGATTTCATTGTTCTCCAATTTCTCTCTCTCTCTCTCCCTCTATCTTTAGGAATCTCTTTGGAATGGACACAGTTTTAAGTAGCTCGATGTCCAGTGCCACTTTAATTCAAGAGGTCACTCCAATTGCTGGTACCAGTCGACAAGGTGGAGATGATCAGGTTCCATTGGTACAATTAAAACTGTCCAAACCCAAGAAAAGGAAAAGGGTTACCTGGGGAACTGGAACAGTTGACAACGAATTGATGGATAAAAAGTCATCTAAATGTTGCTGTATTTGGGATAAACCTAAAGAATTTGGTGAAAGCTCAGAGGAGGAAGAAGATGATGATGATTGTGATAATTGTTATGGTCACAAACAGCGAAAATGATTAAGGAAAAAAAATGGAAACCAAAAAGTGTTTGACTTACATGATATTAGAAAAATACTTTTAAAAGTAAATTAACTTGTAAATTAATTTCTCTCTCATTCTTTTCCAACCCAATGTTGGTCCAATTTTCCGAATTGTATAATTTAACAACTATAAAAAGAAAAATGTTTTTTTTTCGTCCTCATTGTAAATAATAAATTTTAATCACAAAAAAAAAGACTAATTGTCAAATACAATTAATCTATTGTTGTTGTTGTGGTTTTTTTTGTTCTGCAAAAAATGAATCTCTTTTTACATTAATGTTGTGAAAGTGGCAAGAAGATGTAAAGATGAAATGGATTAGTTGATTGTGAGAGGCAAAAAAAGAATTAATCATTTTCTGATGATGAAAATTTTGTCTTGTTCACTTGTGAAGCGTAAATTGATTCAGCAATTAAGTGTTTCGATTGGAAAATGTACTTAAAATTAGGCGATGATTAAAAAACTTCCAAGTGAAAATCGTTGTACTTGAAATTGGTGCAAATGTTAATCTTGTAACTCGACCCACCGATTGCCATTAGCGATTTTTGATCTTTCTCGTGAATCGCAATACTATAAACGTGAAATGGTTCACAGGGAATTTCGGAAAAAATTTTACCATTTAAACTCCAGGTTGACACTTGGGATGAACTTCCACCGGAAACAACGTAATCATTGTGAATAAGGGCAACTTGTGATGTAACATCGCAAGAGGAACTTTCAAAAACGACTCCTCGTGAAAGTGACCTCAAATGCCAACTACTTAAATGTGGACCTCCACCACAAACCATCCACTCTGACGAATTGTCCAGCGCAATACTGCCAATCCATTTACCGAAGGGTCGATTTAGCTCATTGTGTTTATAAGGTTCAATTGTGTTAACAGTTTTACCAATTCTCAAATCCCATAGGCAAACTGAACCATCTTCACTTCCAGAGAAAAGGATATTTGATTGTTTGGAATAAGCGAGACAATTAATATAATCAGTGTGACCATCAAGGGTTAATCTGGGTTGATTTGATTCCAGATCATAACCGTAAATCTTATTATTACCACATCCAGCGAGTAGCAGCTCATCAGTTTCATCGTTTCCACATAAAACAAGTGAATTAATCTCTGGACGTAATATTGAATCACCATGAGCAAGGGTTATGGACCATTGAGATTCAATTGTGTTTTGATTAACCAAATCTGACCATTTCCAGCATTTGATTTCACCTTTACCACCGGTCAAGATTAAACTTTTATTCCCGGTTAAACCATAGATCGCATCTTTATGAGCTTGTATTGAGATACTTGGTTGATAGATTGATTTGTCCGAACAAGGTTGATTCTCATGTGAATCAAATATTCTGGAGATTCCAAATAAAGCTAATTTACCACTTTTAAGGGAAGCAATTAAATATTTTCCATCATGGGAAAAGGTTTGACACAAAATGGTAGCATAATATTGCTTGATAGCCTCCGATCTGGTAACGGATTTATTGGCAAGGTCACCAGAGTCATTTAAATTAACCATTGTTACCAGGGATAGAGAGAATCAATTAGAGATTAGTAATTAGATTAAATATATATTTGCTTTCCTGTGTAATATAAATTGAGTGGAAATCTATTAGAGAGAGAGAGAAAAATTGTGAAGGAAAAGAGAGAAGAGAAAAAAAATTCATTTAGATTCAGTAAACAGGGAAAATTGGAATTGATTTTCTATTGACATATTGAGGTGAAGGTCACAGTTAATTAGTGGAACAATTAATCAATTTTAAACGAGTGAAAACTTACCCAAATTAATTGTGATCAAAGAAAATAAACAAAAACAACAACAAATGCTTCTTGTTGAGAGTCTTTGATGAGCAGATAGGATGAAGGTTAAGAGAAATGTAATCACAATTGTTTGATGATTAAAGAAAATGATTTAACTTTCACAATCGAATACTGTTAATGATGTTGATTAATTGGTCGATCAGTTTAAAGAGAAAATAAATTTGATTATCTGGAGACAAATGAGTGGATAGAAATTGAAGAGAAAAGTGTAAACATCAAAACCGAAAACTCTTATGGACTAACATATGATTTTCCATTTGGAAGGAGTAACAATGGAAATAATTGTAATTCGAATTTTTTTTTGTTCTTTTTGGTTGTTTTTATATGGAATTGATTGGATTTTATTTGAACACTGGGCAGTTGATTAAGAGGAAGGAGAGATTGTTTTTGTTACATGATTTTCTTTCAATTTGGCTCTTTAATTTGGCTCGATAACAATTAACGTTTTACAATTTGCGTGAATTAGAATTGATCGTTTTTGTTTGTTGATTCTTGGATTTGGAAGTGATGGGAATATGGTAACAATAATTAAACAATACAAACATCAAAAACCATAGTTAAAAATCTTTCATAATCAATTTGGATCCATCCATCTTGATCTGTATCATGTTGCCTGAATGCTGAGGTTAGTGATTGAAGAAGTACACATAATTGGATGAAATCATCGAAATAAATTGATCCAGAAGATTTTCTATCAAATTTTCTGACTATTATGGTGTAAAAGTTATCCGATAATCTGTAACCAAAGGTGGTTAATGCTTGTTTCAACTCGTTACGGTCAATATTTCCAGAATTATCTCGATCAAATGATTTGAAACAGTTTAACCATCTAGTTACATAATCCCAGAGAGCAGTAAATTCTTGATAATTGATTGCTCCACTTTTATCTTTATCAAACATCCCGATCATAAGTCTCACCGTTTCACCATTAAATGGACTCCAAGTCCCATTTGATAAAGCTGATTGTAATTCAACCGCATTGATTGCACCCGATCCATCTCGATCTACTCTTCTGAAAAGATCATAAAGCCATTTATTATCGGGCATTTGGTAAGTCATTGTTTCACTTTACAACTAAAGAAATAAACAAATGTCAACAAAAATGGAATCTCGATTCACAAAACCAGTAAAAAAAATAATTCCAACGAAATGATGGATTGAAAAAAAAAGAAAAACTGAAATTAAACTGTAACAATATGAAGGTAAAAAAGTGAAGTGTTTCTTTTCACGAGTGAATGGAAAGAAAATGGTGAAAAATAATTACACAAATTAACGAAATAGATTTACACTGATAATGTTAATTAATAAATTGTTCGTTACTCCCATTAGTCAGAAACAAAGAGAATCAATTTTTTCCTTTCATTCTAAAGTCACGTGACCTTAATGTTCTTCTACTAGAAAATCCAATCGGTAGATGGAGTTACATGGATCTTAATTGTAAAAAATTAATTTCTTTTTTCAATTCCAATTTGGAAATGGAAATTTGGCAAATTATAAACAATAAATTGATTTTTTTTTCTTGATTATTCAATTTATCCGTTATACCGTTTTACTTAGAGTTTAAGAGAGAGCACTTTTGTTCAACTATTACAAATCCGTGAACGAAAAATAAATATCACAATTTAATAAGTTTTTATGTTTTTTGATTGTCCTCAATTGGTATCCAAATATATACTAAAGCTTTTTCACTGGTTGATAGTTAATAGTTGTGTAGATAAACCAATTTACTTCCGCTATCAATTTGAGTTCGACAGATTGGACAGAATTTCTTAATTTCAATCCATTGACAAATGCAAGTCCAACAGAAAAGATGACCACAAGGTGTAGATGTTGTTTCCTTCCTGGTTGACCAACAAAGTGAACATCGAACACCATTTGGTGAACCTTCGATTGATTGAAGGTTTTGTTGGTTAACCTTTTCTTTTTCATATTTTTTAATCCGATAAGTGATCATCATGGATAAACCAAATTCCAATGTTGATAAAATTCCAAGTAATCGGTAAAATCTTCGATAGTCTTCCGTTAATTGAGTGTGAGTTGCGTATTTAATATTTGAGATTCTCTTGGAAAATTGGTAAAAACTACCAAATATGTAGAAAAGAATAAGGTTAATGTGTTGTAACTTTTCCATCATAAATAACACCGAGTCTTTTTCCCATTCTTCAGAATTTCTCATTAATTTAGGAATAATTGTACCAGTGATTAAAGGATAAATACAGTTGATTCCAATCATAATTACTCGACGTAACTTTGATGGAACACGAAAACCAATCTTATTTGAACCATCAATTTGAATTAACGATGTATACTCTTCACCCAATGTTTGAAGGCCTGACAATGTGGTTACCATGTAATAGGAAAGTGGAGCAATTAAATTTAATTGTTGACGATACTGAAACCATCTTTGCATGCCAATTATCTTTTGGAATATGAAAGACCATTGGTTACCAAGCCATTCAATATATTCTTCATCTCTATTAGATCCAATTACCAATAAAACTGGTGAAGGTTCAACTGAAGACATGATTGTTAATCTGAAGCGGGATAAATGATAAATCAAGAATAAGAATGACATAACTATAAATGATGTTAAGATCAATATGTACTAACCTTTATTTTTTGATAATATGATTAATGTAATCTCGTTGTAAGTATCTTGTAATTTCCTTTGTCAAATATCAAGTAAGATTGTTTTTGAATCTTGGATGCTTAATATGAAATTGAGTGGATTGCTTTACAACTGAATCACCATGATAGTGATAATTATTCTGCTAATTAGATTGAAATGAGATCAACTTTGTTCTTGATTATGATTTCCCTTCATGTTATCAAATCATCAGCAGGATGTAATATGATTTCCTCGTTGAATATAAACACCAATCGTCTGAGTCTCATTGAATCTATTGGAAAAGATAATAATAAAGAAAAAGATTAGTTAATGAGAATATTAAATATTGTGACATTACTATGATCACGTAGACTAATGAATTGGAATGAATCAAATTGATCAATCGTAATCATAGAGGATTAAAGGTATTATCCAGATTAACATTAATCAAAGAGTTAAGTTTGAAGATCTAGATTTGAATCTTGATAAAGGATTAATTAACTTTCGTAAATGGATGAAAGAAATTTTTAATCTGACATCAAAATCCATTTGATTAATTAGAATAAGACAAAATTAATGAGAGAAAAGGAATGAATTTCAAAGCAAATACATTGGTAGTAATGTTTGTTTTGAATTGAGAAAATATCATCAAGTGTATTTACTTACAAAATAAATGTACTCTCAATGATGCACTTACCATGTAAACAATTAGATAATAATTAAAGTTGATTCTCACAAAATGAAGAAAAAATTATATTCCATTTGGTAATAAATTAACAATCAATTTGATTGTAATTTGTATCAAGTGAATCACAGAAGAGCAAACAGAAAATTAAATAACATCAACAATCAGCTGTAATGTCAACACTATAAACAGAAGTAAATGAATGAATTGATTACATTGAAGAGGTTGAGAAGATTAAATTGTAATCTCAATAAATGAAGATGATAATTTGTGATTACGATGATGGTGATGATCCAAGATAATTGAGAATATGAGGAAAAGTGTTCAAATTTGAGAGAATAAACAATTAATTCAATTCTATCAGGTCATAACATGAGAGGTCAAATCATGTTTTCTTTATGTGATTTAAACAACAAAAATGGTTTACGTGACTTCCACTTAAACTGGATTAGTGTATTGAAAGAGATGATGATGATTAGTATGATGATGAAAATAAATTGTTCAGTTATTTACAATATGCAAAGTGAAGGAGACACAAGGTGAGTTGGAAGAGAAAGAAAGAGAGAGAGAGAGAGAGAAGAAAGAAGGAGAAAGAGAGAAAGAGGATAAAAAAGAGAGACTATGAGAGTTTGCCTGATGGAAGAAAAAAGAATTTTCAAATATTCTATTTGGGAAGATTTTCTCTTTTGATGAAGACAAATGATGATGATGATGTTTTCGGAATTAAAAGGATCGAACGATGAAAAGGGGAATAAACACCAATAAAAGGTAATCAACAATTAAGTATTTTAATTACTCCGTTTATGTTTAATTTCTTTTATTAACACAACCGGTGATGAGAAGGTGAAACAACAAATGAGAGAAAAAACAATTTTTTCTACTCTCTTTCTTTTCTCTTTCTTTTATTTTTGTTCTTCTCTCTTTTCTGGTCCTGGTTTTTTCTACCAATAATCACGTTCACCATCAGTTAACCTTTTCTCTTTTACTCATTCAATTTGATTGTGTTTTTTTTTCTTTCTTCCTTTTTTAATCAACCAATTTATCTACAATTAATTGTTAATTGTTTTCTATTCCATTGATATTCATTCCTTATTAGAGAGGGTTAACACCTCTTTCTTGTTTTCTCCTTCTTCGATATCCCTTTTTCTCCTTGTGGTTCTTTTCCCTCTGTGATTGACTCTTTCTCTCTCATTATCTTCATCTCTCTCTCTCTCTTTAGTTGCCATTTCTACTATGGGGATTTCTCATTGTTGTTCTTCACATTATCTCAATATGGTACCAACTCTACGATTACCTAGTGCCCTTAGTGGAATCACTTTAGCTCAATTAGTTGTGATCGTAACCCTTTTACCCTTTAGTTTTCAATCAAAATATAAAGGTTAGTATTTTTACTCATATGTTTCCCTCTAAATTGTTGTTTCCTCCATTTCTTTCTCAAACTGTGACTCTCATTTCCACAAGAGGAAGAGTTTTATTGAAAAGCCGGTTTAATTACGGTTGTGTATTTACCATTCACCTAATTAGGTTTTGAGTGTTTCTAATTGTGTTTTTGTTTTTCGTTCGTTTCACTTTTCCTTTGACAGATAGTCAACTTGTAATCTATTCAAATGGTCCATGTTTGATGATCCGTTTCTTTGAATCCCAGTCAACAGATTTGACGCCATCTTTTCCCTCTTTTCCCTCATTAAGACCTTTGGAGGTGCCATTAAAAATTGCCGGTAAAAATTGTTCTCAAAATGATCCAGGATGGATTACATCAGTTGATTACTTTATGGATCCAGTTACCTTGGACTTTCATCTAATTTGGGCTGATTCAGATAGTTCAACTCTATGGACTGGTCGGGTTAATTCAACAAATTACCATATAAGTGATGTGAAGCAATTACGTGATAATAATGATATGCTTATTGGAGCTCGTGTGAGAAGTTTAATTGTTGATTCTGGAAAGATGTTCATTAGCCTTCCATATTTACATCGAATTGAAATGTACGATCTCATTGGTGGTTTATCGATTGCTCAAAAAAAGTCAAATTCATTTTCGATTAATCTAAACCGAACCATCTTATCTGAAGATACTGAGAAAATAGGAAAAGTGCTTTATAATGTAGATGAAGATAAATTATTTTGGATCGAAGAAAATAAGTGTCTATGGTTTGGAACTCCAAGCTCACAGAAAATTATGGACAGAAAACGGCTCATGTGTACCAATTCCCTAACCGATGGATTAATTTATTCTGCTGTTATCGATTCAGAGACGGGCGATATTTACGTTTTCAGTGGTAAAGGCAAAATAGAACGTCTTTCTGGTCCTAATTGGTCCCAACGAACTACAGTTATATCAAATTGTTTAGCCGAGGAAAAGTATCAATATGCTAAATTTTACACTATCAAGATGATGAAAGAGAAAAATTTTCTCAAATTCTATGCCAGTGATACGCAACATTACGCATTCCGGCAAATTAGTTTAATCAAACGATTCAAGACAGGAAACAACGATGAGGGAGATAACGATGAATATATTTTGGATAAACAAAATTCTGGAATCTTATTCACTGATGCACCAAACATTTATGATTTTATTTTCCCTGGTGATGATAAATCTAAAAGCAAAGTGATCAGTTCACCAAGAGACCAAGAGATGATGAATAAAGCGACACAAGCACAAGATGAACATGATCTCGCAACTATAATATACGATGAAAATTTGGATCAAGATGAAGATTTGGACGCGAATAATGTTGCAATTTCATCATCATCGTCATCTAGAAAGTATCAATCAATGACAAGGCCCAAATTAGAATTAATTAATAAACAAGATCTTCCGGAATCAACTTCCTCCTCTAAGCTTTTCAGAAGAACGGAATTACCTGTAAACAATTTAGATTCAATTAATTCCCTGTCCAATATTATTGTGTCTTCTTCTTCATCATCACCATCGCCCATTGAAGGTTTACCTCCTCAAATAACCTTATTAACTGTAACATCATCATCAACAATTATCTATTGGCTTTACGGCTTCTTATCGATTGGGCTTATTATCGCCGTTGTTTGGATTTTATTAACTTTAATTGGATTAAAGCGAAATTATCAAAAAGTTTACACCGATGATAACAGTTTAAAGGAAAATCTAACCAGCGTTAAATATTAAAGAGAAACAAATTAACAACAATTACCAGCTAATACTTAAATTAGAAATCAAAAATGTTTAATTGCAATTATAAATAATATATAAAACAAAATGTTAAATGTAAAATTTATCAATAGTAATAATATAATTATCACCACAATTTGTAAAACCAATCAAACTTTTTCAATTTGGTTAGTTATTGATCTTGTTTTTTTTTTCATTAATTTTGATTCTTTTTTTTTGTTTTGTATTAATAATTAATATTGATTGATAGTTAATTGTTTATATTGATCATCAATTCAATTGTATAATTTAAAATTATTTTTCATGTTACATTCAATTGCTATGTAGTTTTCAAGCAATTAGAGTTATATTTGTTTAATTAACGTTCACTGGGAAACATCATGATCAGGGTAAAATGAGAAGTCTGATAAAAGGTAAATTAATATTAATTGTGATTAGTTAATTTAATCTTCCATAGTTGTTTAAAGTCAAGGTTAAACAATCAAATGGGAAAGATGCACAATCACTGATTAACTGATGAGCCTTTTAATGTAAACATTTAATTCCTGATTATTATTAGTTTCTCGATTCATTTTCCTGATTCTTATTTTCCAGTTTTCAATTGAACAATCAGTTGATTGTTTATCTTGGTTAATTAATTATCTCATACCAATTTAATCAATTGTTTAGTTAACTTTTCAAGGAGAAAAATCAAATCTACAAGCAACATTGGATTTTCTAACCTCTTTCTTTTTAAACTTCCATTTGATAGATAATTAACTCTAATTGTTATCAATTGGTTCTCGTCATCTGTTGATTATAATCAACAATCAAGGAAAATGTTGAAATAAAAGAAATGAGACATTTTCAGTCATTTATTATGAGAATTACAATCATGTTTAGGTTGATTGTCTTCTTATTCTGGATTCTCAGTTGTAGTGAATAGATTCCGATTTTTTCCAAAAAGCACTGAAAATAGAAAAGAAAATGTTGGAAGTTAATTGCAAGTTAAATAATAACAATTAGATGAATTACCTCCTCGAGAACTTCCTTGTTGATTAGCGAGGTTCTTTAACTTTTCAATTTCCGATTTCTTAGTTGAATCTAAAGTAAATTGTCATAAATCAGTTAATTTTAATTTTCTTCAATCTCGTTCTAAATTTACCTTCATCGTTTTCTTCAGAGTTACTACTCTTTGGCGGCGGCTTATAAACGAGGCCAAGACCTAAAGGTTCATCGGGATCATATGGGTACCAACAAGGAACGAATGATTCTTGGCTTCCATTTGGAAACTCTGGTGAATGTTCAGGACACAGATCGCTATTTATTCTGGCGTAAATATCAATAGTATTAGTAATCAAGGTAAGTACAAATTGATTATATAAATAACAATTTCCAACTAATAATTACCTGTAGAAAAGCTTCAGAAAATATTTGACTGATATTCTTAGTATGAATATTCTGGGATTAGAAATATTTTTTGATGAATTATAATCATCGGCTTTTGGAAATGTCCATTTGATTGTAGCTCTTTTTAGTGGATATAAGTTTATTTCAGAAGTTAAAAGGTAAGTGTATTTACCACCAGGCTCAAAGTTCGAGAAATTATCTGAGATGTTGAGTCCATAAGCGTTTCCTTTTTCACTTTCAAGGTTAATAGTAATTGATGCAAGTCCAGGCTCAGAATAGTTAGACAAAGTGAAATTAATTCCATAATGATGAACTTTGGATGAAAAGAAGAAGAGTCGAGAAAAAAGTAGAATCAATAGAGTTAAATGTACTTCGATTAAACTTACGACAATATGGGAATTTATCACTCGTCTTGAAATAATATTTCTTAGATTTTCCATCAAAAAAAGTATCTTGTGTTTTTCTATTCAAATTAAGCCCGAATACGCGGTCACTATAGATACGAAATGGAACACACTTTTTACCATCATCACCACAATCGACGGTACATTGACCTTTCTCGAATTTATCATAACTTGAACATTGGTAACCAACGAATTGACAGTCGAAAGATTCAGAATTAACCAACATTAATTGAGCTGCAAAGTTTTCATTACATGAAACAGTTTCATTCGTCACCTTATCGTATGTGCCATTTGAATCAATGAACAATCCTTTCGATTCATTACACATATGATATCCTCCATTTGGATAAAGATCAACATCTCCAACAGGAGGACCTATTTTTAAGATATCGAAAGTAATTAATTAGCTAATAAAACGATATGAAGAAAGAAAATAAAAGTTCACCTCCAATAGTATCATAATTGTGAAGAGCATCAACGAATAGAGCATCAGTTGGATCTAAACGAAGTGAAGTTAAATTCTGATAGAAATCGGGACCTAAGGAATCTATTCCAGAGATCCGTCCAATATACGGAGCTTTTATCCTTTCACCTACATAGCCAGCGATATTAGCACCTAAACCGAAGCCAATCAAATGGATATCAGACATTTTCAAGGCCGAGAACATTTCAAGTCGTTTGATAAAATGAACGATCGCTGTACCAACAACTTGAGAGTTCACTATCGATTGACAAGAGTTGACTTTTTTCGCGCCATTCGACCAATCGACTGTGAATACATTTATCGGTTTGATCCACCGGTTCCAATTTTTAGGTACTCCTGAAAGAATATTGTCTCTGACTTGCTTCAGAGTGACAATTTAAAATTAAGATTAGAAATTTCATAGAATATATTTTAAGAATAATCTTACATTCATCCAATCTGTTTCATTAGTAGAATCGACCAGTCCATGGATGATAAATTTGTTTTTCAACCCTTTTTCGTAAGTTGAATTGTTCAATTGAGACTCTTCAAAATGGTATTGTAAATCGATTGGACTTTGTCGATTTCTCCAAGTGAATAATCTTAATGACAAGCTAATCTCCTCGAAACTTTGAGGTAAAAGCATCATCGATTCACCAGCAACGTCAATGAATTCAACCCTTGGAAAGCAACCCAAGTGCTCATAACATTTTTCCAAATTATCTAAATTTGAAGAAACTAGAGTTCATGATAAGAGTTTAAAAACTGAAAATTTCAATTCAATTGTCATATAAAAAATCATTAGCTTTCCATGTAATTATCAATCGATCAATAAACAAAATAATGATCTTTTCCATGGATCAATCGATTACAACTAATAATATTCGTTGGATAAATTATATTAAATTACAAAGACCAAAGAGAGTCTATTGATAATGATTTAAGCTCTTGATTCAAGTTCAAAGGTGAAATGACTCAGGACAAATAACGAAATACCCTGAAACTCTAATAACTCTGAAGATATTTGCACCGTAATGAAAAATTGAAATTTTCTGAATCAATAGCTTTTCAAAAATGATCTCGTTCATTCATTGCTGTCAAGGTTGTCACATTTTTCGTTGTGATTACTTACTATTTGTATCATTTGGATCCAAGTGGACATTTTTAATAAGAAATGATAAATAGAGTAAAAATTGTAATAAATTTATCTCCATGTCAATCAACACGATTTGAACTTATCGACGGGATAATAGTGAGAAAAATTAGTTGACCACAACGATTGACACCATTTCACATGAAAAAAGGTTTAGAAATTGTCATCAAAATTAATCGAAAATAGATCGAAGTGTATCAATATTAGCCTAATACTATTAGGTACAGAACTTTTTGATTCGATGATTATTTGAATGCAACGAAACTCCGTAAATTGAATAAGAGTTTTGGTAAACAAGTTGATTGAGAATCGTGATGCTTTCGATTATCAGAATCATCGATTATCATCGATAGTCGAGGAAAATTTTTATGGAAAACCAAACATCGATTTCTCTTTCTCTTTCTTTTATATCGTAACTTTCACTCTTCTCAAGTTCTGTCTTACTTTTCTTCTGTCTTTTTCTCTTTCGGCGAAATACCGATGATCATCGATTCTAATATTGCGTCACAATCAATTATTGGAAATTTTAATTATCGCAAATCATTAATTGGAAACGAGTTGAAACGGGAAAACCAAAAAAACAAGAGAAACTAAAAGGAGTGATTAGTATTTTATTTCCAATGGTAAACAGGTAAAAGAAGTTTAATTTAGTTTTCTAATCAGATTGTTAACTATTAATAATTTAAGGAGATAATTAACTGAGATAAGAATATTAAATTGAAATGAGAAAGATAATTAATGAATTGAAGTGATCAAATTTTGTTTTGCAAGAAAAAAAAGTTAATCATTCAGAACAGATTTGAATTTAAATCAATGGAATTGATTGTAAACATTATCATTTGGTTAACTCGATTTAACTCAATCAACGAATCAATTGATTAACTGAGATCTTTTCTATTAGCATTATAATCACAATTGAGATCAACTGATTAACAAATTGTTGCAAATTGAATTTACCTTCTGTTGATTTACTAACATCAACTCATTGTTAATATTTGATTATCGTTATTATTATTATAACCAAAATCAGAATCTGATTATCAACCAAACTTACAATTTGATTAGCTTAGACAAAGTTAATTCAATCTGTTAAGTGATTAACATTCTGTCCCTTGGTAACTTATTAATGAAATGATTAAATCAATAGTAATTAACAAATTTTTTTTTCTGTCAAAACAAATATCATTTAATAATTAAACGTAATAATCAGTTGATGACAATCAAGTTATAACTATGATATGTAAGTAAATTTAATAACAACCATAATAATAATGTATAATGTATTAATTGACTAATTAATCAATTGATTTGAGATGTGATTATGACAATGATGATTATAATTGATGATTAAAGAGAAGAGAGAGAGAGAGAGAGAGAGAGTGAAAGTAAATTAATGAAAATTAATTTGATTTCCAATAAAAACAAAAGCAAACACACAATCTAATTTATGGAATCAATTATAAGGTCTCGAATCGTAGACAATTAACTGATTGTTGTTGTCTTTGGTATAATTATATTACATGTTGAATCGCAGTCAATCAGTTGATTGTTATTCTAATTCTATTCTAATTTTCTCTTAATCATTAATCATAATCATTCAAACTGATTTGAGATGATTTAATGTTCAATATTTTAAAAGTTAATTTGATTACAGTTGATAAATCATAATGATATTATCGACAATGTTGATTAAATATTAGCAACTAATATGTTATTAGCATTGTTATTATTATTAATTTAAAAGGTTTACAAGTTGATTTGAAGTTGATTTGTGTTGATGAAGTTAATACAATTTAGCAATTCAATTACAATTACATATCATTTTGATTGGATTAATTTGTTGATTTTCAATTCAAATTTTTTTCTCTCTCTCTCTCTCTCAATTTTTACGATTACAGAACTTTTTGTTTTTCGGTTTCGATTTACTCGATTTTCACTTTTTCTCTTTTTGGTTTTGATAACTTTCTTTCACTTTGTTGTTGATATTATCGATTATCTTTGTGAATCTACTTCCGTCGTCTGAAACAGGAAATCGGGTTAAAGTAACACTGATGATAACGGATTTGCCTTTTCTCTGGACTCAAGATATCACGAGTTGGACCCGAAGGGGATGAAGATGATGAAGATGGTGAAAATCGTCCAACTCCTCGAAATCGAGGGACAAGGGTATAGAATTTGTCCAGACCGAGGTCGTTATCAAGACCGGAATTAAATATTAAATCAGCTCCAGATCTCTGTTAATTCAGATGAATATTAATGAGAGGAAATTTATTCACAATGAAATTCAATTAATCGGATAACTTTTCAAGATTTCCACCTAAAAACTAACCTTAATGTTTCATAAAAGTTCAATCAACTTACTAATTCACTAACAATAGCTAATTTTTTTCTATTTTTAAATGATTAACTATTTACACCTAATTGTTGATTAACTAATATGTCAAGTCAACAACCTTTCGAGTGATTTATTAACAATGGTTAATTCAAATTGTAACCTTTCCCTTTGATCATTTGAATAAAACTTTTAAGGTTACGATTGAAATGATATTTTCCATTCAAATCATATTAATTTAGAACTTTTTTCTTCCTTTAAATTTCCGAGAATTCGAATCCCTCTCTCTAAAATGTTCAGTTCAGTTCGAAGAAAAAAAAAATCTATTCACACTAAAAGAGAATAAGTTAATTTCTCAGAAAGAAGTTTTTTCTTTTCTTCAAACTTTTCATGATAACTCATTTTCTCATGAATGGGCTAACTGAATAAATTATTGATACTCGAATCAGTTAATGTAAAAACTACCATGGGAATTAGAAACATTTGTATGCACTAATTGAAATGATTAAAGATCTAAATTGAACACTTAATCAATGACAAGAAAAAACAACAAAAACAACAATTTCAAATATCATGATTACTTGAAATTGATTGGAAATAATTTCCAATTGTTGTGAGAAAAAATCATAAGAATCGCGAAACAATAAAGATTTTAATTGTTGATTTAATTGTTACCTGTTTAGTGATCCATTCATCATCTTGTTCATCGGTATTCCGTTTAATTGTTTCCCGATTAGCTGCAAGAGCAACAATTAAATTAATCACCAAGATCAATGATATCAGGTAAATGGTTGTTAAGCTGTTTCTCAGATTAAAACTCATATTTGCAAATTTAAATTTTGTTTAATTATTGATGATTAAATGATTGAAATTGTCCAATTGAATTGATTGTTGAATCACAATGTAATTAACAGTCAACCACTAAGATACACAATAAGTTAATGAAAACAAAAAACTGGTTGATTAGTTAGTAGATTGTTAGTTGATTTGAACAAACAAGAAAACAAAAGCGAGTGGATTAGTTGATTGTTGATTAGATTATCTGATTAATAGTGATGGATAAAAAAAATCTTCAGGTTAATATAACTTTCTCACTTTTTGATAGTCTCTCTCTCAAACACTCTCACTAACTCACTATATATATAAATAAATCTCTCTCTCACTTACTCTCACGAAAATTGATTAGTTAAATCGGTTTATATCTCTTTGAATGAGCAAATGATTTGAATTCGTAAATTAATCAAAATATCAGAAAGTTAAGGAGGTTTGAATTTATTTTTTCGAATTGGCGTTTGATCCGCTTCTCACTAAAGATGATGACGAAGATAAAAGGTTGAAAGATGAGAAGAGTGTATGAGAGAGAGAGAGTGAGAGTGAGAGAGACAAGAGGGAGAGAGAATTTTTATCTTGCTTATATTCAGTTGATTCTTGAAACTGATGAAAACAAGAAACGATAATATTTTAACTCCCATGAGATGCGCAGTAATAGGAATCCAAGGGAATCCGTTCATGTTTTTTGTTTCTCTTACGTTCTGTCAACTCTGATATTCCCTTGATCAGCATCATTAGGTGTTGGCTTTTTTACCGTTACATTTACATCAACATGCGCATTCATTTGTAATCGTCAATGTCCAATCAGTTTGTCTTGTGTCATTTTCTCATCATGAATCAATTAAAGGGATAAAGGGAGTGTAGGTGATGATGAAGATGGTGATGATCATGATGATGACGATCATGGTGCTTATGGTCAATGATTATTATCCTCTAATTTAACTGATTAGCTGATTTCCTTCAATTCATTACGATTCTGTATTATTGTGGTTTTTCATGGGGTCAGATGATTTTCTGATTGGTTAACCTGATCAATTGGTGATTAAATGAATTATGTTTTGTTTGCAGCATTTTAAAGTAAATAGTTTTAAAGTTTATTTGATTCATTTCTGAGGTCGGAATAGTCAACTTGAATTGAATTAATTGATTAATTGTTTATATCACATGAGAAATGATGTAGTCTAATTGTGATCGGAATAATGAAAAACTTTTTCCCTGAAATTTATGTTATCATGATGACGATTTATCATCCTCAAGTTTACATGGATAATTACATAGCCTTGAGTTAAATTATTTTCAATGAACTTTTTCAACCCTTAATCCTCATTATAAGGTGAGAGAGAAGTGAGATGACTTTGATGAAGATAAAGGTGAGACTGAGAAAGCGGAAGTAAGGTGATTTTTTTTGTTTCTACTTGATTTTTAATTCTTCCATGGGTTTGTTAAGGGATGTTACATTTAAAAGTACATTTCCGATTTAGGTGATGATGAAAAGAAGCTACAATTATAATCATGATGATAAAGATGACAGAAAATTGATCAAAACTCAAACGGAAACGGAAATGATGCTGATAAAAGTTCAATCTCTTGTAATTTGATCATTTTCTTTCATGATAACAGTTGATAATATTTTTAATCTCAAAGTTTGTTTATATCAGATTAATAACTTTGTTGTTGTTGTTTAGTTTTCATCATATCTTTGGTTTTGACCTAAATTTTGATATTATTATCGTCATGATTGAGATTTAATTACCGAAAGTATATAAATAATATCAAATCAACAGGAAATTGAAACGATATGAAAAAAATGAACCCATATTAATACATATTGTATATTATAATATGTAATCAAATTGGTCGTAAATGATTAGTTGATATTAGAAATCAATAGATTGAGTTATAAATGTTACAATAATTTAATCAATGGCTTAATTGTGAACATAGATTAAACGAAATGAAACAATCAGTGAAATCCATCAAAGATGATTATCAATATTTTCAGATAAATTGATTGAATAAAGTGGCAAATGAATAGATTTGTCAACAATTTACTATATCTAAATTGTTGTAAGTTGTTTGTAATCAAGATGATTCCTGATCAACTTGTTGATTCTTGACCATTGACAAGATGTGTTTGTCTATTTGTTGAACCCCAATCAATAAACATTGACAAGTTACACTTGCAATTGACATTTAACTCAGTCTAATGTTAACATTTATCATGAATAAGTTTTCATGGTGTCAATTCAAATCGTAATTAACATGTCAATCTATTAGTTTGCTTCCAAAGTGAGTAGATGAGAGAAATATGAGATAAATGAAGAAGCCAACAGCTCATTATCGTAGATGGATAAGTGTTCCAGCACAATTCAATCAATCCCATTAAGCAAAGTCTATCAGGTGAATTCGAGATGATCAATTTGGATTGAAAAATAGAAGAAAAAAAAAATTAAAATCAATGACAATTTATGACAATTGGTCAGCTAAATAATGACCATGGTAAACCATATTATCTACACATTAATATAATACAGTGAAACGAAATGAGTTTCATTTCATATATCAGGAAAGGTGATAACAACAGGTGATATTAATATTGTTAGATAATCAAGGATTCGTGTTAATTAACTTACTTTGAAACTGTTGAATAATTAGTTGACCAGATCAGATAGGGAATTGAATGATAATACCAAACATAAAATTGATAATGAAGGGATCGAGCAACGGTTATCCCAATCAAATTGCTTGTAAATAATGTTAATAAAATTCCTGTAACACAATTAAATCAAATAAGGTTAAATGTACAGGTAGTTTTAACTGTGTGTTTCTTAATCATTATCATTGGTAATTACAATTAAGCTCAATAAACTTGTAATGATATTATTTTGGGCAAATAAAAGTTCATCTGAAACTGAGTTTAACTTCCCAGGGAAAGTTGGAAATGGAAACAAAAAAAGTTCTGAAAATATCATGAAATTGTTCATGGGGGTCAATTCAGTAAACTCATAGCATTACATCACCTGATAACTCAACATAAAATTATCACCATGTAACTTATATGTTCACATTGAATCAATTGTCTTTATCAATTGAGGAACCAATTATTGAAATTGATTATCTTCCTCATTGAAACATAGGTTAACATTGAAATTAACTGATTACAATTAAATTCTTATAGGAAAATAAAGTTGTAACTTTTACCTATAAAATTCATGGTGAAATTAACGCAATTATTATTCAGATTGTGAAAACAACAAACACACAATCAGTGATTTAATAATTTACAATAAGGTTACATTTTCAATTTGGATAAACAATCAATGATTAACTAATGATTATCGTCATCAATCAGGATGTAATTTATAACTCATATCAACGTAATCATCATTTTCATTAAAAAACATGAAGAAAACAAAACATTGTTATCAAATGATTAACTAATCAAATTGTAATTGTTTCAATTGAGTCCTATTCAATTAACATCATCATCAGTTTGAAAAGCTTGCGGGTAATCAATTTATTAACTTTTAATCTGATCATAATTAACCCATCATTAAATAAGCTTAGGGCTTAATAGTTAATTTCTCTATATTTATCATGATACATATTAGTGAATTTAATTTGATTGTTACCAATTTGATTTAGTTAATAATTAGATTTTTGTAACTTTATCAACTGATTGACAGATATTGTTTTTTAAATTGCTACGAGCATTTTAATTGGTGGTTAAAATTGACGTTGGAAAATGTTGATAAATCATTTTGTTTACAAATAATCAATTTTAAATCACATTTTAAACAAGTTAATTAACTTTTAGATCATGATAATGATTGTCGATCAATTGATTTGCATCGAGATGGAAAATTAATTGAGGTTGAATTTTGTTGATTGAGAAAAATGTTCCATGTACTTACTTGAATTCGTTAATTTATCCTGATTAGAGTTAATTTTGTTCCTGATTCTTGTCTGAAATGTTACTTTGGACCAGAATTTAGGTTTTCTCAAAAGCGATGAATACCTGTTGAGATAATCCATTAGATCAGAATTAAGGATAATATTGATAATTTAAGATTATTGGGGTTATGATTTGTTCCTATTCTTGTTCTAGTTCAAGTTTGAAAAGATTTTAACAATCAATTCCAGGGAATCAAAGTTATCATGAAAACATAAATAATTCATCATGAAATTTGTGTGAAATTATTGACAGAAGTTCAATGGAAGTGGACAGAGAAATTTAATTATAAATATATTAGTTCAATCTTAGAACTGAATTGAATGTTGGAAACTCAAGAGTTCAATAAATAAGCCATGATCACAGGGAGAGGTTAAGATAATCATAAATGAAATTATATCTTAATTATCAGATAAACAATCCGTAAGTAAATCAGGCTAATAGACTTTCAATTGATTACAATTTATCTAATCACAGCATAGGAAATTTGAGTGGAAAAGTTAATCAGTAAATAATTAGGTTAAAAGCTAAAGATGAAGACAAAAAAAAACACTGACCAAGTTAATTAGTTGATTAATGAACAATTAAATACTAACCTTTTACCAAAAAATATCACCAATAAGATAACATGTAAGACCAATAGGATTAGGTGAAAGTTACGATTAAGAAACAGGGTCTCACTTATACATCTCCAATTAACTGTCCATTTGTAGAGGAAAATCCGACCCAAATTGAATGATCGAGTTAAATAATTTACAGGGTAGGTCAGTAGAAAAGGTAATCCAAGGAAAATCTGAAAGAAGAAAAAAAAATCAAAGAAATTAAAATAATTTGATAAAAGATTAGCTAATTAACTAACTCTAAGATTGGCCAATTTATTGATTAGAGTAAATCATCAGATTAGACAAAATAAATTATCAAACAACATTAATAATCATTTGTTGTTATGTCTGATTGATTAGTTAATCAACCAGGTAGCAATCAACATTTGAATAATTAGTCCAAACCGTAAATCAATGTGATTAATTAAATTAATTAAATGCCAATGACGTTACCTAAATAATGATTAGACTGGAAATCTCTTGTTTCATTTCAATTAATTGTTTCTCATTACAAAAGAAAAACTTTTCTAATTACAAATAAGTGGAATGGAAAAACTTAATAAGGATGATCATTAGAAAACCAGATTAACTTTGGTCTTAATTGCGTTGGATTGACCAAACTTTGATTAATTATTTGATTTGATTAAATAAGTTTGAACTAACGGCCGTTAGTCAGATACAAAATAACGTAAAGAAGATCGTCAAAATGACCTGTTTCTTGGAATTACTCGACTTAGGTAACGATCGAAAGGTTCATCATGTTTTTCACAAGTTTTCATGATAAAATATCAAAAATTCATTGCGAATATATTAATAAGTCGATACTTTTAACTTTAGTGTTTCCTGATCCTTTTGTTTTTTCACAGAAAATTGTATTAATATTAGAACATGTTAACTCGTCCTTTCAAAAATTCATGGGGGTATTAATAGATTCAGAATGAACTTTTGCTCTTCCTCCAGTCAGCATTATCTTTCTAGCTCTTCAAAAGTGATATTTTTTACAGAATTGAATATCAAGACATATCATCATCACCATTATCATAATCATTTCCAAGTAAATTTCCGATCGGGTGAAAATTATCATGGGAATTGGGAGTTAACTGGATGAAAAAAATTCTCATATTATTCAGTTCATTTGACCAATGGACTAAATGATGATAGTGTTGCATTTTCATAATGGAATGGAGTATATTTATTATGAATAAGATAAAGTTCTTTAACCTTTTCTACCTAAGATGAGCAAATCATGATAATAGAAGATTAAAGTTTCACAAAATGAAAAATCGAAGAAGATAAAATGAATGAAAAGAAAAAAAAACAATAATAATGATCATGTTAGTATTTCCGGTTGATATTTATAGGGATAAAATTGTATAGTCGATTTCCTAGAATTTTGAGATATTTATTCATAAGAATCAACATGAAAGTGCTGACAAAGTTTCAAATACTAATGAGGTGGAAGAAAAAAAGTTCAACAACATCAACAGAACAAATGAACTTGAATATGGAATTTTTTCCTGCTAATATACATTTATTAGTTCATCTTCTCTGGATCATCAATCATCTTTCAGTAGAATTGGAATCTTGAGAAAAATAATAAGGAATATGTGTAAACACCATGATAACATGAGGAGATACATGAAATTCAAATGAAATCGTTTTTCATCATCAAGTAAAATGGTGAAAGATAATGACAATTTCCGGTTCTAATCATGATTATCAAGAGATGTTGTTATTATTGACCAGGAATGACTGATTCTCTTGACATTGGTTATTATTAATAATCATTTGGGGACAATTTTCTCAGAGCTAGTAAAACTTTTCCAGGTAGATACAAATTGGTAAAGATAAATAAAGGTCAGTATCTTTTCAATAAATGATATTATTTTAATCATCTAATGATGATGATAACGAAAATTAAATAATAAAGAGATGAAGATAAACTTTGTATCAACATCAATAAGTGTATATTGATTCAAGTATAAGGTGAGTGATATTCAACTTGAATCTCATGAGATTGAAATTGATCTTCTCATGAAAAACCATATTGGTAAAAGTTGATGATTAATATGAAAAGCTAGAGGCTCTGTTGGAGCATCAGAGTATTGGTCATCTTCATCTTCATCGTCATCATCCTATCTCATATCTCATCATTTTTATCATAATAAACTGAAAAACAATCAACTCATCAATACATGTTGCAGGTAACATCAGTTTCAGATGGTTAAGTTGATCAGTTGATTATATTTATCATCAATATTATCATAACCTCGGATGGAAGATGATGAAAGATGATAAATTTACACTGTAATCTAAGCAAAATGTTAACATATTATAAAAACGATGATACTTTTAGCTCTTACCTGAGTAAAGGCACAAATACTCAAGTATTTAAGTGTATTATAAGGACCAGTTTCCTCGAGAAATGTAATCAAAAGACCAGGAGCAAATAATAAGATATTCATTTTAATGGAAACTCCAATGCTAAAGGTGAGAAAGAGAAAGAGAGAGAGAGAAAAATGATGATAAATGAAGATAGACTTGTATAATTTTCCCTACTGGACATTGTCCATTTGAGTTCACATTCAATATCAGATGAGTTATTTTTCAACCCTTTTGCCTTATTTTGTATGTTGATTGAACCGTTAATTGTAAAGTAAATTAACCAAATGATTAACAGTATTGTGAATTTTTTTGTAATTAGTAAACATTGATATTAATTGTTGAAAATTCTTACAATTAACTGATGCAATTTAAATACAGACAAAAATTATAACCATTAAAAGAATCAGTAATAGTTGTTTAAATATCGTAACAATTAAAATTAACGAATCGCACAAAATTATATTAAAGACAAACATTTGATTAAATTGTTGAAGAAAAAAATTATAATGATATCTGGTTAATAGCGATAATTAAGATTCAATTCAATTAAGGAGAACACATAAACACAATCAACTATTTAATCAAGAATGTTTCATTCATTTTTTAATTGTTATGCTAATCACTTTCAATCAATTTGATTTCACTGAAAATTACAAAATCAATGCATGTTAAAACCTAAATGATTAGCAACAACAATTAGCCAATAATCAATAATAAATCAGAGTGATTATCGTTAGGGTTTAATTGTTTATCTTTTTATCGTTAATCACTTTTCAAACTCTTTCTTTTACAACAATTTAAATCCTTTTGACTTAATAATGGATTTAATAACTCCAATCACCTCCCAGTGTAATAATGATAATCTCTCAACGGATTAACCCAAAACTTAATCTGATTGTTTTTCACCGTTCTAAGTACCTTGATTATTGGACTTTTATAAAAATAACGAGAAATTTATAATTCTGTTGATTCAATTAACTTTTTTCCTGATGAAAGATGAGGAATTAAACAGTAAATGGTGAGAAGAAAAGGAAAAAATCAGATAAGATGATGGAATTAAGATTAATATTAAAGGTGAAGAAAAAAAGATTATTAGAAAGTTAAAGAGATTAAAAATGAATTGGATTTAATTGTCATTTGAAATGTGAGAAAATTAGACAATGAGATTCAATTGGAATTGATTATTTGAAAGCTTATTAGATGATAAAGTTTCCAGGGAAATAGTAATTTATCATTAAGAATGATAATGATGAGGATGATTAAAGATGATAATAGAATTACATTCCATTCGGATTTATCCTTAATCATCAACTATTTATACTATTATTGGATAATCGTCGATTTAGATTTGAATACATCATTAACAATTGAATTCCAGGTAATCAATCCAATTACTTTTTTCTTTGTGTAACTTTAACTCTTTCACTAATTAACCTTGATTTAATTTCATTGTAGTTATATAATCAAAAAGAGAGCTGGTATTATAATTAGTTGATTATCTGGGCTTAATAATTATCGTAAAAATCGTAAATGATAATTGGATATAAGGTGATTAAAATACGAGCCGTTAAAATGGTGATATTAAATTAAGATTTAGCTAATTCATCTTAACAATCTAGGTTAACTGGATTAACAATTAAGTAACTAAGTGGTTTGTGAGTGTCCAGCTAATTATTTACCTTTGAAAGATTGATGATGATTAGCTACTTAAACAACTGAGAAAGAGGATTAATAATAAATGATTAGAATCCAATACATATAATATAACACAATTTAAAATGAAATTAAATCCAAGATAAATGCCATCGGTGATTAATACCAAATGAGATTATCAAAGCAAAATCTGATTATCTTGATCTACAGGAAGGAAGCATAAAAAATGGCAATTACAGTCCATAAGATTTCATGTTGAATACTCAGCTGATTAAATGGAAATTTCAATGAATCAATTGTTACAATTAAGGATTCGATAATGGATACTAATTAGTAACCAGAGTAATTACATTTGGCCTTTGAATACTACTCGAAATATCCTCCAAAAAAAAGCCTTTAGTCCACTTTAGTTGTTTAGAATCAATTTAGAAATAATTCTTGATTTAAGTAAAAGTTTTGATCTAATTTGCGCCAAAATTAACCGATAAATAGTTAACTTAACATAATTTCGGGATAATTTAATTGCAAACAATTGAAATATCAGGATTCTAATTTTTTCAAATTAACAAAAAAGACAAAAAGTAAACCAAAATTGTCATTTTATGCTCCCTACTGTACTTAAATTAGTTAGGATATTTAATAAAAAATGAATAATAATCCAATTGATTGAAATTCCTCATTATTATAACAATTAGTCAAGATGTAAAACAATAACAAATTATAATCTTAGCTAATTATCTTTATAACAACTTTTAAATTTTCACGTTGAATGAAATGATTAGATGAATAATCAAACATGTTGAACATCATAATTAAAACACGAGGTAAGTTGATTAAGAGTGTTGATTTCATTACAAGGCGGTTGTTAATCATGAATGGAAAAGGAGGGAAAAAAACAAATTACAACCTGGAAGGTCAATTATTGAGCTAATTAATTGGATCTCTTGTTATTATTGACAAATTAGTTCAATTATCTAACAATAAAGTGATGTAAGATGTGCTCATGGTAGAAAAGAATAGGAAAAAACAACAATCAATAATAAGAAATAGAAGATTAGCTGATTCGAATTGTAGAGATGATCAAGGAATAAGATGATTGTAAGATGATAATTGCGTGGGCTTCAGGTTAACATGGAGAAAAAGGATCTTCCAATAAAAGATTATGACGATAGTAGAAAAAGAAAAATCGAAACAGGTAAAAGTCTAATGTTTAATTTAGAAGTTAATTCTTAATGAGAATTGAACAAATTCGAGAAGCTGAATGGAAAATGATTTATAGTTAATAAGATAATAGAAGAAAATTTCTCTCGGAAGTAAATGTTAAACCTTTTCTTCATTTTTTCAACTAAATCTTATTCTCTAGAGTTGAATATACTTTCTAATTGTTACTAAATTATTAAGTAATTGATACTTAATTCTAATCTGTCAACTACTTAAGTTACTTGTTCTTTCTAGTATTCGATTGACATTTTAATCGACTTTATCTCTCTCTCTCTCTCTCTCTCTCTCTCTCTCTCTCTCTCTCTCTCTCTCTCTCTCTCTCTCTCTTTCTCTTCATCTTTCAACTTTCTCTGTTCGTGTAGCTTAATTATTAACACGCAATTGGATGGCCTCAGTTTCTGGCCTTAAATTTGATACCTTTAAGGAGACAGAAAATGAGTCCATCATCAAAATACTCTGTTTACTTGGATGTGGAAAGATAATCTTTAATTCATTTGGGAAATTAATTGAGCAACAATTGGTTAATTCTAGATTATAAGATTAGATTGATTGTCCATCATGATTGTCAGAAAGAAAATGTAATTGTAGTTGTAACAAGAATCAAGCTTTACAAGAAAATTACCTGTAGATAGATTGAGATTCCCTATAATATAATTCTGATAAATAATATTAATGATACAATATTCTTAATCGTTACTGATTGTGAAAAAAAGTCTATGAATTATATTATCTACTAACTGTAACCTTTATTGATGATAATAGGCTTCAATTTTTGATAATTATTGTCTAAAGTGATAAATATCAGTATGAAAATGTAATTGGATCAATTTTTAAGGTGATATTTTTAAGTTGCCCTGAATCATGATACTCAATCAACTTTAAATTGATGGCAAATAAGAAGTATGAATTTGAACCTAAATTAAGATTATCTCACAATTTTATCACTTACAATCTGATGAATGATGAGATCTATTCTTGGCGAAAAATTAATTGTCATATTGGGAGAATCAAAGTTAATTATGAATAAGTCAATCGTTGATTCTCATGGTGATCACAAGTCTTGAATAGATAAAAATATTACTACTGCAATATGAACAATTAGTTTTGAAATTGTTTCAGTAACAAATAGATTGACAAATATTGAAACTCTCTCATTGTCTCTGATCAATGAATTCAGGGAATGATTATCATGGAAAAACATTGAAAGACTAACCTGAACAGTAATGCCGCTGATTTCCAATGTTTTGATAGAATTAAATTAACAGATAAATAGAGAGCAAACATGGCCACTGGATCGTTAAACAATCGTAATGAGTAAATTGAGTGAATACGATATGAAGTGAGACACATCATCATCAGAACATATGGAGGAACCTGAATGGAAAATGATGAAATGTAATTAGATTAGATAGAGATTAAGAAAATGGAACAATAAACAGGAGGGAGAGTGAGAAAAAAATTGGAATAAATTAGAAAGGAAAAGAAAACAATTAGCATTCATCTGTCAATCAAGTGCAATGTCGGAAATCTCAATCAAAGGTAAACAATCAGATAAACAAAGAGATAATCTCTCCATATCCTGTTTACTATAATAAGAATCCACCATTTAGATTTGGCCTCAAATACCGAATAGTATTGATCGAAATTAACAAGTTAATTATATCAACGATCAGTGTATTGCAACAGTACCGTTACAATTTAAACAAAATTTACTAAGAGGAAATCTTTTTGTGAGCAACATTGCGACATCTCTGTTATATTTGCAGAATCAACAATCAATGTATTGATAATTCTGATGATGTTTCTTGATTTCTCAGCAGAAAATGAATTCACCAAATGATCTGTGTAAATGTTTGTTGATCTTGTTTTCGTTGAGGGAATTTGAATGTCTCAGTACCTTGCGAACCCGATTGTAAATATTAAAAACAGCAATTAAGTTGAACAGGTATAAAAGAATGAAAAAATATTGACCAAGCTGAATTGATTTTCCTTGACCAGTAAGAAAGTATAACAATGTGTAGACATATAAATGACCGGCAGGATAAACAATCGGTCCAGTATCACCTGAAATATTATTATAATCCAAAGTTCCATTGAGAAAACATCTAACCTGTTGCATGTATGTACTCCAATCAATCTCGGTGTCTTATGAAACGAAAAAGAAAACAATAGAAAATAAAATAAAAGAATATGAGAACAGAATATAAAAAACAAAAGAATAGACAAAAGCTTAATCTTAATAACGGATTAATTTAAAAAGGAATTAGGGAATTAAGGCGAGAAGAGAAAAGGAAATAAAAAGTTAAACATGAGAAAACATTAAATCATCTTCATGAAGATTTTTTAAAGATGGAGGGAAAATCTTTGAGACAACAATATAAGTCTCACAATTGTGAGAAGAAGATAAAAAAAACACTATACTTACATTTAACACGTTGAACAATTAACAAATTAAGAGCTAATTCAAAGACAATTAAAAGAAAACAAATTACCGGAATATAAGAAACATCAGTAAATAAACCGATTAATGTTGAGATTAAATTTTCTGGTTTAAGAGAATCAAATAGTCGAGTTAATCTACTCCGAGAAGATTTAATCACTTTCCGAGACATGTTTTCTATCCTGCTAACAATTAAATCAAATTCTCCAAAACAATTAACCAAACCAACAATTAAATCAAAGAAAAACACATGACATTGGATTTTCCAGCTGATGGAACTTGAATTCTTTTCTAAAACTTCCAATAGGTGGAGTTGTTTTCCATTTTCCACTTAACGGTTACTCTGCCATCTATCAAGTACAATTAACTAATTACTTTGAGACAATTAAGTGACCAAGAAATTGTTTAATTAATCATGTGTACCCACCGGTGGATAACACTTCATGTTCATTGTTAAATGATTAAAGGTTCGTAATTAGAAGTTAAATGTTCTATCAAATGTTCAGGTTCTCTTTTTTGTTTATATTTTCGAATAGAATTTTTTTTTTAATTCTTTTTTCTCTTCTTTCTATTTTTCTTTCTTTTTAATTCTCTTTCTACAGAATATTCTGTAGTAGAATTGAAATTTCATTCTGATTCTTGATTCTTCACGCTTTACCGATCTCTTCATAACCTTGAACAAAAAAGAAAGTTTGTTTTATTATCATTATGTTGTGTGTTTATATATCTACAGGGTGTAAATGTAAATTTACCATGTAAGTGTAAAGGAAAACAATTTTTGTTCGGTCACTCTGATGAAGGAAAAGAGAGAGAGAAAGAGAGAAAGTCTCATTTGAACTTTTTCCACTTTCATCATTAATGCCGATTAATTGTTTACCTTTAGTGTCCTTCTATTAATACATTTAACTGTACACCCGGTATTGTATTTTTATGTATATATATTTGTATGTTTAGAGTGTGTGTGTGTGTATGTACAATATTTATACAGTCAAATAAAATGAGTTTGACACCAATATTTTATAACTTATGTATTCACAAAGTAGACGATTGATATTGTTGATGTGTGATAGATTTTCCGGTTAAATTAATCAATCTATTAATCTGTTAATCTTTTTTTTCTTGTCTTTCTTTTGTTCATTTCTTTTGCTTTCGTCCTCTCTCTCTCTCTCACTTTTTCTCCAGGTTAATTGAACAATCTATCAATCAATTCTTTCGCTTTCCTGGCTTTATCCTGGTCTCATTTGTAGATGTTGTTGTTGTTGTTGTTGATTATGTATATATGATGGTGATGATGACGGTGTTTATATTGATCATGTTGAGATTGGTATGAGTTGAAATGATGATCTAGATATTTATACCCTCATCTATGCATAAATAGTACTTCTAACCAGCATGGACATGATGTTATCGTTTGTCTAGAATAATTTGGTCCCCATCCTTTGACAAAACTTATCCTAATGGAATACAGGTCAATGGGACCATCTTTCTCAGATCTAAAGGGATAGAGAGTGTTCTTGAGGGCAACATCATAATCGAATGCTTTGATCGAGTAACCAGGTAGAATTTTAAATATTGTTGGACGACGAGAATTTGGTGGACATAAGGTCGCCGAATTGAGGAATATTGGATAATCAGATCTGTTATAAACGTAAACCGATGAACCTTTTCGAATTATTCTTATACCATTACCAATTTTGGCTCGTGTTTTACCAATTTTACCACTATTATGATCAATATGATGGAGCGGAAAATATCCTAGATAAAGGCCATTCCCTTTTGGACAATCGTTAAAAATATCAATACGTTCATTGGAAACAGGAAATAAACGACCAACTCGTGATTTTAATTCCCAATAAGCAAGGATACACCAATGTGAAGATGAAATCTCGGATTCTGGATATGATGATGATGATTCAGTTGTTGATGATCTTTCCTTTACAATACTACTACTACTGTTACTCCTTGATGTTGTAGTAGTTATTATGGTTGTCAAAGAGTCCAATGATTTGACCATCGATGAACAGAGTAGAGTGAACATATGTAAAAAATGATGAACGTGTTAAAAGGTTGATTAGAGTGAGAGAGAGAGAGAGATGGAAGAAAAATAGAATAGAAAAACAGAACCAATTCATGAAACTAATGAAAACATTGATGGAAAAATGGTTATAGCTGTTGAAAGCTATTGAAAACTGATGATGGCGATGGTGATGATGATCAACAGAAGCAAAAGAAGTAAATAAATATCAAAAGCAGTGAAAGAGACGAGAGATGTTAGTATATTGTTGTTACTCTGTCGTCGTCGCTTTGATGTTGTTGTTGATGAGGACGACGAGAAATGAAATGATGAAGCACAAGAAGGAGAAGAAAAAAAACAGGAGAGAGAAAGGGAAAGAGAGAGAGAGAGAGAAGATGATAAAAAAAAGAAGAGCGAGAGAGATATTATCTGTCTCCTTCTGTCTACATCAAAAGTCTAGACAGAAAGAAAACCGAAAAGGGAACAAATTATTCCCCCTTGTCTGTTTCTTCTCTTAAAATAGCCAATCTATTTCTACGAAAACTTATGTTAGAATAGAAATTTTTTTTTCTCTTCGTCTGGGTTATGATTTCTCTTCTTTACGTTTCATTTAATTTTTAGCTTTTCTCTCTTTTCGTTAATTGCTGATTGATTTTTTGATTGACATCAATTACGAAGGTATCAACATCATTTTTATCCATATTGTTTGATGAGAAAAGAAAAAGAGAAACAGAGAAAAGAAAATTGTAAGTTTTCTTATGACTGATTGATGAAAATTCATTTCTCCCTCTCTCTCCCTCTGTGTATCTCTTTTATCTTTGTCTCGATTTTTTTTCTTCTTTTCTTTCGTCTCTCTCACTCTCTCACTCTCTCCCTCTCTATCATCATAATCACAATATTATTGTGCTTTTATCATAATTAACGATTTCTCATCTTCTTCTCCCCTGCTATTTTCTTCATCTTCTTGTATTCAGTGATTCACATAAATTGATTTTCCTTTCTCACTCTCACTACACTTACCAAATCTTTCTCCCTCTTTCTCCCTCTCCCTCTCTTCCTCTTACATTGTCTTGTGCTTTTACCTGTGTAAATTTTTTAGCAACGATTCTTGTAGACTATTATTATATTTTTTTCTATTGTGTCTTTTGTTCTTGTTGAATGTTATTACCAGAACTTGTTATCTAAAGCAAGTTCAGAGGCTCTTCTCATCTTCCTCCTCCTACTTGATATAAAATCATGTCCAGAAGCCAAAGTGAAAACGAGATCAATTTTAATTGTTGTTAACAAACTACTCACCATAGTTACTCTCTGTCTCTCTCTCTCTCTCTTGAACTTTTCAAGTTGATTCAATATTTGACAACCAAACAGGACACAGACAAGAACCAATCAAGTAAATACAAAATGGATTGTGTCCAAAAACAACAATTAAACTTTTCCAATCTGACCTTTGAACATGTTTTCCAGTATAAAAAAAACTCCCCAACCACTAATCTACTAAACAATTAACATTTTGTGCTCACAATTTAAAATGTTGTTTACAACCTCCCCTTAGGCTAGAAGATGAAGGAGAGAGAAAGAGACAGACAGATAGAGACAGAAAAGTAATAATTTTTTCATTGACCGTGAAAGTCTCGCCGTGTCATTATCATCATCGCACAAGGAGGAGGAGGAGGGAGTGGACATTTGATCTACTCCAGCAACAGTTTAGCTCAGTAAACAGTTTCGATTGAATTTTTTTTTTCTTCTCTCTCATTATTACTGTTCGATGAATGGAGATGATGATTATATTGTTATCATATTTTCAATATCAAAAGGAAATAACATACAAGGTATCCAACTATTGTTGTCTATTTAAATTCTCACTCGTTCTCCTCTCCCGATTATCTTCGCTCTTCCTCATTCATTTTTTCTCCCTCCCTCCCTCCCTCTCTCTCTCTCTCTCTCTCTCTCTTTCTATTTACTGTTTGTTGATTTTCTGTCTGCAAACTTCTTGTTTTTTTCTATTCTTTTCTATTTATTTGTTTACCTCAACTTTTTGTGGAAGTTTTTCTCCTCTTCTCCATATGAATTTCCAATTCTCTGTTACAGTTACTTTTCTTTTCGAATTTTTTTCATCATGTCTCTTCTCTACTTGTTGGTTTTCTTTAAAATTACATTTTTATAATATTTTTATAATATTTTGTTCTCTTTTTCTTTTTCATTGCAGACTTACAAGATTCTCTTTTCTATTTGCAATTTATCCATTTTTCTTTGGCTTTTTTTTTTATCTTCTCGGTGTAAGGAGACAGTGAGACACACTAATCACTCACATGAATGATGTAAATCTCGGATTTTTATCTTGTATTTTTTTTCTGATTGAAACAAGAAGAATAAGTTGATTTAGTCATCTGATGATTTTCTAGAAAATTTTCACTTGTAATCAATGTCTACGATCTATTTTAATCAATGTAAATAGAGTGGAAACAATGATTATCATATTGATTGTGACAACAAAAGGCATATATATCTATACATAAATGATAAGTATCATTCGCGTAAATCGTTTGTCACAATTACGAGAAAATTGGAATCAAAGAATTGAAGGAAAAAGAGAAAAAGAAAACATCAATACCCAAGGTACACATAGAAAACACTGGAACACTAAAAAGAAGCCAAACAATTGGGAAGGATAAAGAATAAGGATAAAAAGGCCTTTGGAATTGAATATAGATCAACCGTCAACCGTTTAAGTGGAACAATCAATGAACACGATTTAAAGAAAGCACATAATCAAAGAAAAGGGATCAAGTTAATTAATACAAGAAATGGATACATAACAGAAAAAGAGAAAAATTCAAACTTGTTGACAAGATGAATGTCAGAAATTAGGAATGAAAAACACACAAGTAAATGGAAAGAAAGTTGAGCCAATTGTTGAACAATCCATAGAAATTATTCAACAATGAGAATAACTTTAAATATTAGTCAAGGACGGAAATTCCTAATTAACTAATGATGATTATTAACAATCAATTAGTGTCTAGAAAATGATGATTCACTTGGATTAAAAATAGAAAAGAATTTAAATCAATTGGTAAATAGAACAACAGATGGCAGCACATAGTTGAAAAAACGAAAACAAATCCAAGGGAATTTAATTGTTTACTAATTGTGATTGTTAATTGTTTTTCTGTTTTTTTTTAATTTTATCCAATTTAGATTCTTCTCAATTAATCAGCATTTTTTACAAAGATTTTTTGTTGCAAAGAATAAGTTAAATGGGATGAAGTCTTTTTTTCTTCAAATTAATTTGAGCTTTTGATTTTTTTCTTGTTTCTTGATTTGTTTTGATTTCTAAAGGTTTGTGATTATTGTTTTTCTTTGATTATCAAATATTCATTGATTAGTTTTCAGTGTTGATTAGATGGAATTGATTTGTATTCTTTTTGTATTTTAACTCTTTCCTTTTGGAGGTTTTTCTCTCATGCAATCTATTGGAATGATCGTTGTTTTCTTTGTCTCTTCTTCCATTTTGGATTAGGTTTAATTGTAAATCTTTTTTTTTCTTTAGGTGATTAACTGTATTGTAAGAAAGAAGATTAATCTGGTTCATCTGTATCGACGATCAATCAATCAACCAACCAAGAGAAATTGAATATAATGGATTTGCCAACATTCTCCTCAAGTGTATTGATTTGATTCCTTGAATTCTTAGGAAGGAAAAGCTTTTCAACTAAACAAGATTACATAACAATCTCTTCATGTGCCGATTTGAGTAATAACAACAAACGTCTAATTATCATAATGAAACCATCATGCTCTCTATCCATGAACTATCCTGGAAAAAGAACATATAAGATAATAGTTGTTTAGATGATTGGCAGAAATTCGCTGGTTAATGAAAAATATTCTCTCTCTCTCTCTCTCTTCATCCGTCTATTTCCCTTGAATTTTCTGGTTCCTTTTCAATTTGTGTTTATTAAACACAAAAGTAAAAGAGGTGAATGGGAAAAGGTTCATGGTACATTCATGGAAAAAGAGAATCAGAGAACCAGAAAAACCGGAAAATGACCTTCCGGTTTCATCGGAGGATAAAAGAGGCTTAAAGTTTATACTCAAGTTTTGTAGGAAAAAAAAAGCTCACCGTTGATTCCTAACTATTATCATGAATTATTTTATGTACCCACCTTAGTAACTGTAATTGGACATCATCCTACTACTAAATATGTACCTTTGTGAGAGAGAAAGAGAGAGAGAGAGAGAGAGAAAGAAATTGATGACTGAACATAATAGGAACATCTAACCATGAATCGGAAATGTTTCTCTTAAATGTTCAGGTAATACGATGATGGGGAAAATCTGAACACCATCAGCAATTAACAAGCAAGAAAAAGAAAACCTCAGGATAAATCACACTGTAATTACGAAGAGAAAAATTTATCATGTATACAAATAGAAATTACTTTTTAGAGTTCAAATTTTCTTTCAACTTTTTCTTCCAAACTCATTTTTAAAGTAGAATTTTTTTAACTCATCTACCTTTACCTTTTGTTATCCTTCTGTTAACATGAATTCTGTAGTAATAGTTGGTGAGTTAGTATATTAGAGAGAGAGAGAGAGAGAGAGAGAGAGAGAGAGAGAGAGAAAGAGAAAGATTGAGAACAAAAGAATTACAGAATCAACAACACAATATCTTGAAACTATTTTCAACATGAAATCATTTTTCAGAATCTTCTTTTATATCTTTTTTTTTCTAAAAAAAGAGAAGAAGAATCTACTTTAAAATACCTGAAGCCTTTTTTATCCTACCTGTTGTGTTATAAAAGCAACAACAAAAGCAATAGGAATCACCAAAATTACTACCAGCACTTGAACTTGATCATTTCTAACAACAACTATTACTACCGGTTGTTACCAGTTCAGGGAACCATGAAAAGGTAACGAAAAGACACAGATGAAAATTTCCAGGTTGGATTGTGAATTGTTCAGTCAACAGAACGACGAGGATCATGAAGAAGAAGAAGATGATGATGATGATGATGCCCTTGATGTTCCTGTTGTATGATGATGATGATAAAGAAGCACAGGTAGAATAGAAGAGAAGAGAAAAAAAAGAGAAGATATTTTAAGAAAGAGAGAAAATGGAGAAAAAAAAAGCGAAGACGAGTCAGAATAAGAATAAGATTTTTTCCCATGGTGAATGAACTTTACAATTGAAATAAACTCTTAAATTATGTTAAATCTGTAAGATGGGAATTGAGAAGATGATGATGGTGATAAGCTAAGAGAAGATAAAACTGAGAGAGAGAAAAAAAAAGCTACAGAGACAAAGGAGAAAAGGTTAATACGTGTCAAGATCCATGAAGACAAAGAGTTATCGTCTTGCCATCTTAACCTCTTGTTCCCAACGAGAGTCATAGTAACAAAAATGTTTTTTTCTCTTTTTCAGCCAATCAGAATCGTCGATCAATTATTCTTCCAGTTTTAATCCAAAGGGTTAACCTTTTATTCATTTGGTTATTTTGTTTTCTCTTGTGAATTAATTTTAACCTTTGATTAGTTTATTTGGATTATTCATGGAATTAAGGAGATTTTCTGATTTGTTTGCAATTAAAGGTTAGAAGGTCAAATTGGATTTGGAATTTTTATTTTATTCGATAGTGTCTTCAATCGTCTATTTGTTTTGTTTTTCTCGTTTTTTTTTTCGTATTCAAGATGGTGGATGTGCATTTTAACCCTTTGATCTATTTTATTGCTTTTGTGATTGTTACTGGCGATATTTATACCTAATTAATAGTGACCCTGATTGGTGATGAGAGAGAAAGAAAAAAATTCTAAATTAATTTGGTTTTCTATTGTTGTTTTTTTTCTTGTTCTACCTGAAATCGTCTTATTGTTTCATTTTTCTTTCTACTCTTTCCCCTCTCTCTCTCTCTCTCTCTCTCTCTCACTTGCTCACTTACTCATTCTACCTCCTCCCTCTTTCTCCTTCGTTATACGTTATGTTTTTTGTATCACAGGTAAGACCAAGTGTAGTTTTTTTGAGGTCGGATTTAAAGAGTCAATGGCCTTTTTCATCCATCACCTTAAAAGAATCAAGCAAAGAAGAGGAAGAAGATGAGAATTGGAAAAGAACTTAGATCAAGAACAGAAGAAAAAAGAAAAGGTAAGATGATGGTGATGAGAAGACGATGATGAAGTAATAAGAAGAGAGAGAGAGAGAGAGAGAGAGAGAGAGAGAGAGACAAACAAGGGATCGCTTTATGTTGAGTCATGTTTCCCTATTCAAAGGTTACCCACCTTTCTACTTTTCCCTTGTATCTTCTCTCTCTCTCTCTCTTTCTCTCTCACTCACTCTATCTTCATCATCTTCATCACAAGCTTTGGTACCTGAAGCTTGATCGGCAGGTTTCAAGCCTCATCCTCACCAGTTTCAGCTCCACTACTTTTTATTATACATCAGGTAGTCTAACAGGTCCTTTTTCTTCTGGCAGGTCAATGGCAGAGATCATTGCTCGGTAAAGAGATGAGAATGGAAAGAACAAGCTCATCTATCTTCATCTTACATTTTCTTTTTCATCACTTATCTTCTCTCTCTGGGCGGACTCTTACATTTTTAATGAGAGCGAACAAGTGAGTTTTCGGGAGATATCTCTCTCTCTCTCTCTCTCTCTCTCTCTCTCTCTCTCTCGTTCTCGCTCTCTCTTCGTTCTCTCCTGTTCTGGTTAACCATTCCGACAACACAATTGTTGCTCATCCAAAATCTCTAGAGAGACTTTTTTTTATTGTTTTCCAAAATCAAAGTGTAATAATCAACATTGGAACCACTTTTAGATGTTAACCAATAAGTAAACAAAAACATTCACCTCTGTTGATTTTTTCTCCTTCTTCCCTTAACTTGAATGTGCCTTCAAAATATTGTATTCATCATCATCATCTTCATTATTACATCTCCTTGTTTAACATGATGCAATTTATGATAAACATTTGGTCAAGTTATATTGGTGATTATGGTAAAAGCCTTTGGGGCCAACAACAACATTTAATACATCAACAAAACCAACAACAAAAACAACAACAACGTTAAACTTTTAACAATCATCATCGTCAAAATTTGGATCATTTGAAAATCTCATCATATGTTTTAAACTGTTTCTGTCATCAACAAAAATAATCAACAAATTTACTTACACACAAGTAAAAACAATAAGAGAAAACCATAAACCACTTTTGTTACATTTCTCTCTTAGTCTTTTAATATCCTCAGAGAGAAAAAGAAAAATTCTAAGCAAAAGATCTCATTTTAATTCTTCTTATAACAACTCGAATTATGTTGTGTTAATTTAAATCATCGAATAGAATTTTTTTTCTCAATATTCTATTCTTTTATTACCAGAGAATTCTTCTTCTTTTTTTTTGGTTTATTCTAAATTATCTTCGGTGTTTTATTCTTATAACTTTGTGATACTAAATTCATATTATCTCTATGGTTTCACCTTCTATTAGAATGTGTATTCGTCCCAACAATCAACATCAGCAAACAATCAAACGAAAACCTTTGTCGTGTTAATTGAATCTCAACCAATCTTCTAATTGTGATCAATATTATTCTTGTGTAATATACAAAATTATCTACTAAACCAACAATCAACAGAGAACGAAAAACAAAATATACTTATCGACATTCCTACAGATCGATATTTTATAATAATTATTTATATATATTATCTATTATCATCTTTAATTAATCATCATGTTGTCCAGTTCGTCTTCCAATCATCATCATGTTCACCTTCATTCCAGCTCGAATCATCATCATCTATTATCTTCATCATCAACCTCTTCAAATAATACATCAAGTTTACATCATCCTCAGCAAAAACCATTGAGACTTCGTCGAGTTAATCATTCGGATGAGATTGTCTCTGGATTTAGTAAACTTCTTAAAACGGAATCGATGACCGATGTGACCTTAATATGTTCAGGTGGACAAACAATACGAGCCCATCGAGTGATCCTGTCAACCTTTTCACCCTATTTTAGGGCAATCTTTGAATCTCAACCTTTCTCCAATAATCCCTGCCAGTATCCGGTGATTGTAATTAAAGATTTGGCTCTAAGTGAATTACGTACAATCATTGAATTCATTTATAAAGGTGAAGTCTCAGTTTCTAGGGATAAATTACCTGCAGTACTTCATGCAGCCAAAGAGCTTGAGGTCAATGGCTTGGTTGACCTTAAATTAGATTCACCATCTTCTGTCTCTTCATGTTCATCACCATCGTCAGGCCAATCATTGAATGGAGCTAATAATAATAATAATAGCAGTAATAATAATAATAATAATTCTAACAATAATTCTCATCATCATTCATCATCTTTATTCAATGGAACCGGATCATCTGATTGTATTGATATAGTTACCATTGGTTCACTTCGAGGTGGTGGTAATCATGGAAATGATGGAAACAATTCCAGTAATTATCTTTGGAAACGATCCCATGATACTCTTGAATCATCATCACCCTCACATTCATCATCATCAATATTTGGTTCCTCTGCTTTTGAGGCTTCACTGAAAAAATCTCGTGTTACCCTTGATTCACCTGACGGAATGGGAATCTCAATTCTCGGTGAATCTAATGGATCAAATCATCATGATTCTGTTCGTAGTTTACTTCATCAACCCAATAGGATGGCCAATGATTATAAAAATTTTCGAAACAATTTATCCTCACAATTTAATCAAGCCTTCAATAGTAATAATAACAGCAACAGGTCAAGGTAAATTAGTTAATTTATTCATTTTTCTTTCTCATCTGAAATTGGTTTCAACTCATTCTAATCTCTATCTCTTCACCATCATTACCATGAATCCATTGTTATTCAAATTTATTACAATCACCTTTTCTTTTTACATATAAGGTTAATAGCCAAAAATTCAATCAGGTTTAAATCTTGTTTTTAAATCACTTTTCTCAAATGAATACATTTTATGATTTAGTAGACATGATTTTGGGATTTCTTTTTGTTTCCAATTTGTTACTAAATTAGTTGATCATTTTGCTTTGAGAAATGATTGTTGATATTACATGTAACTGTAATTATCATTCTTGCAGTTTTGGTCAGTCAACTGACCAATTGATGAATTCATCTCTCTCTCTCTCTCTCTCTTTAATCACTTGCGTCTACAATGATAATTATTTAAGTGATTAAGTTGTCAGTTTTTCTCTCTGGTGGTGGTGACCTCGAACAAGTGGTCAAGCTTTTTCTTCATGTTCTACTTTTTCATAAAACTTGATAATCACATTTTCCTATAGTTTTTGTCTCTCTCTCTCTCTCTCTCTCTCTCTCTCTCTCTCTCTCTCTCTCTTCCTCTAACATTTTGCCAACGTCATAATCAATTTCGATAGATTTGTATTGAGTTTTAATTTATGTATTATTGTTGATAGACAGAACTGATTGTTTAGCCAATGACCCTTAGGGTTTGAAAACCTTACGCTCAATAATATTTAGATGAGTTGAAACTGAAAATTATCCAGTCAAATTGTAAAGTTTAAAACTGTTGTGATTAACATGACAATTAAGGATGTGATGTGTCACTCAAAGTAATACTCACATAAAGGTGATCATTATGTATATTTTAAATTGTTAGTTTTGTTTCTTGATTTAATTTATTCCTTGACGAAATTGTTTGAGAGAAAACCATGATTATGATTGTAATTAGCATCTCAATTTGGGATATGGAATAAGTTTTATTGTAATAACACAATTTATTATTCATTCCTCCCAATTGTTTGTGATCATTAACTGGATTAGTTGTTTATCTTTGATTATGATTAATTTTGTTGAGGTTGGGTTAACAATTAAGGTATTGATGCTTGTTTTCAATTTAATATCATCATGATTGTACTTGAACTTTTCTCTCTCTCTCTCTCTCTTGATTAATTTTAATCTGATTTTGTTTTTCTTTTATTTTCATTTCTTACAATTTAACTTCTTATTTAGACATTTAACTGTTGATCAACTTTTACAACAAAAGCAACAACACCTTCAACAACGTACATTGTTACAGCAAAAGTTACGATTACAACAACAGCATCAAATGAAACAGCAACTACTTCACCAACAGCAACAGCAACAACATCAACAATTCATCCCAAAGTCAATGCTTTCATCTCGATCATCCCCTAGCATTGAATTTAATAGATTCCAAGAGAGGATAAAAGCTCAGATTTTAGAGAAACATAATCGCTCCTCTACTGCCCATGGATTAGAATCACGGTCATTGATTCAGTCATCCGCTTCACCAAGAGGAGGAGATACTCGTATTGGTGGTGGTGATGATGATGAACCAGGAAGGACAGAGGGAGGAGGCGGACCTGGTGATAAGTCAGATGATGAGGTCAAACAAGAAGAAGAATGTGAAGTGGAAAATTTGACCGTTGATGTTGACATAAGATTAGATGATGATGATCCACCTATTGAAAAGTTGTCTCGTAAGCAGAAAAGACAAATTGATGGTGACGGAGGAAAAGGTGATGGTGGAGATGGTGAAGAAGGAAATGGAGAGGGTAAAAATGAAAAAGAAATCAAAGGAAGACGAACAGGAGGAATAAAGAGCAATAATAATGGTGACGAAGTAAATGGCGATGAGGATGGAGATGATTGTGAAGAGGGTAAATTGGAAATCGGTGAGGATTTGACTATTCGTAAACGGAAATCAGATGAATCGGGTGGAGTTGATGATGATAATGATGAGGATGATGAAGAAGGAGAAGGATCAAAACGTAAAATTGAAGGGGAAGATGACGAAGATGATGATGATGTAGTTCAAATAAAAAATCAAGGAGCTGATTTTAACGAAGATGATGATTTACCCGAGGATGAAGATGAATTTGAAGTTGATATTGAAAAAGATGAAACTTTCCAACGACAACAGCAAATGAGATTACAGCAACTTCAACGTCAGCAACAATACCAATTACAATTACTTCATGAGCAACAAGAAGCCAAATTAATTGAATTACATCAACAATTTGCTGGTGCTTCAAGTGGTAACGGTGCGAGTGGTAATGGTATCATGTCTCTGCGAATGTCAGACCAAGGAGATGATACAATGGAAACTGATGGTATAGACGATGACCCCTCATCCCCACCGGGACTGAGTCTCGATTGGCAGGAAGGTTTTACCGATGATGCTTTTCCGTCAATGATAAATCATCTATCTAACGGTGAAAAAGGTCGATCCTTATTAACCGGTGGCTCTGGAATAGGTGGTGGAAGTAATAATAATAATCATCATTCCGATAATTCTAATAGCAATACTCAAAATCATGGTGGAAACAAATCAACCCCTGACTTTTTACTCCCTCGTGGACCAGGTAGACCTCGAAAGGGAAACAAATCAAACGATATCAGCCCATGTCCCGAATGTAATAAGGTCTTTGTCCGGCCAGATGTACTTAAACTCCATTATCGTAGTGTTCACCTTAATGAGAGACATCCTTGTAATTTATGTCCAAAAATATTTAAATGGCCTGGAGATTTATCTAAACACAAACGAACCAAACATCCCGAAGCAATGGCCGCCGCGGCCGCAGCCGCTGCAGCAGCGGCAGCAGCTTCAGCTGCCGGTGTGACAACATCTTCATCCAATAATAATAATAGTAACAGTTCATCAATTGCTAGTAAAAGTTAACCACCAACAGATGATTAATATAATTTCACGAGTAAATAATTATATATATAAAGAAATATATATTTACATTAATTAATTACAATTAATTATGCAACAAAATCTAAGGGACCAAAGGGATCTTATTATCATCTTTTGCAACTTTTATTATTATTATTATTATTTTGATTATTAATATTATCATTATATTAACTTTTCTATTAATTTACAAAAAAAAATCTTTATAATATTTGACTGTTAACAATGATTAGTTAATCATTAATTCCAAATGTCAATTTAAAATCAAATTATCAAACAAAAAATTAACTGATATCGACAACAATCAAAGAAATCACAACAAAATGATGATATTTATATAAATACAACTATAGCAAAAAGAAACACATAATTAATATATTATTATTAATATAATGATGATAATTATAATTACTATTAACTTGTTGATTAAGAAAACTAAATTAATCTGTTCAATGCAATTTTTTTTTACAATTAATGATTTAAAATTTTTTCCATTTACAATTAAAGTCACAACAAAATCTTTGTAAACATTTTCTCTTCCGTATTCACATTGTTTTCATCCTTTCAAATTTTCCAAAGAGTAAAAACAATCACAATTGAATTAAAAGTTAATTGTTGATTAAAAAAATTCTTTGCAGTCAAAATAACGGATCAGAATAAAAGAAAGAAAAAACAAAGCGCCATCTCTCGCCATATGGAACAACCTCCATCTTATTCTATTCGTGCAAAGATTTTGTTCATTGCAGGGGAAGTTCTGAAGTTCGTCCAAAGAAAAAAGTTGTATGAGACAACTTCGGTAGGGAAATTATATTATTAATAAGTTCGAATTACAAATGTTTTGGTTAAGACAATGAGGGGAATACATATACAAAGAAGGGTCTCTAACATTGTTCATTTTTTATTCTTTTTAGTTAAGAACCCGACTTTTTTTCGGTTATAGAATTTTGGACGAATATCTAAAAAATATCGTCTAATTTTGTTTCTATTAGCCAGACGGAAGTTATTTTAGTCAAATTCGATACCTTATAGTGACCTTGCTATTGATCATATTTAATCAACATCAAACTCATGATTTCGATAGACCTTGTTTTGGACTTTTTATTTGTACAGTTAACTTTGATTTGTTATCAGTAGTTTTTGGTCTATTCAAGTTCGAAAAAAATTCGAATAATGTCCATTCTTTGTATTAACAGACCGCTATGAAATTTTTTCTATGAAAATCAGAGAATATACCGAAAAGATATTCATATATAAGCCAAGAGTAAATGAAGTTTCAATCAAATATCCAAAATATTATGGATTCTCAATATATTAAATGCAATTTTTTACAATTACAATTAAAGTCACATTAAAATCTTTGTAATCATTTTCTCTTCCATATTTAATTCACACTATTTTCTAATCCATCAAATTTTTCCATTTGAAAAACAGTAACAATTTAAATAAAAGTTAATCACAATTAGAATTTAACATTTCTCTTTTACATTACAATAAACCCAAAACTAAGAGTTTTACAATACAAATTCAAATGAATTTTCAAATTCGCTATAGTTAATTTCGTACATTGTTTTCTTCTACTTTTAGTTGTGAAAGACAATTAAAGTGTATTGTTGATTAAGATTCTCAATTTGAGAATAAAAAAATTCTTTGCTGTGAAAATAACCGATTTCGGTTTTTCTTTTCTAATGTGAGAATAGCTCATGTGAAGGTGTGGAAATCATCAGGAAAGATACACGTCAAAGTAGATTTTCATTAAATAACTAATTGTATTTTAATTTTGTTCCATTGTTAATGATTGAAACGATTAAATTTTAAGATGGTAAGTTGTTAATTAATTGAATTGAGTTGAGATATGACCAGTAGTTAAAAGGGTTAACCAATTTGTGGTGTTCCCAATGATGACACAATATGATGACTGATTATATTTGGTTGGCTTTTTCTTCATCTATTTTGTGTCTTTACTAACTGTTTATCTTGTAATCGTATTTTAATTGATAATTATTGTAATGATTATTCATTCAATTGTAGATTAACATTAATTACTGGTTATTATTTTAGAAATTCGGATTGATTTGATCGGGAGTAAACTTGATGTGTGATGTGTTACCATATGATCATCTTTTTTTTTTACTATTTTCTTTTCTTTTTTCAATATCCGTCTGTCTCTTTTTAGCCTCTCAAATTGGATGTGCGAAGAAAATTATTGGCTCGTAGTGATAGAGTTAAATGTGTTGATTTGCATCCAGTTGAACCATGGATGTTATCATCTCTTTATAATGGTTTGGTGCACGTTTGGAATCATGAGAATCAACAATTGGTTAAATCATTTGAAGTCTGTGAGGTTCCAGTTAGATGTGCTAAATTTGTAGCTCGTAAGAATTGGATTATCACCGGTTCGGATGACATGCAAATTAGAGTCTTTAATTACAATACACTAGAGAGGATACATCAGTTTGAAGCTCATTCTGATTATATCCGATGTATTGTCATTCACTCTACTCAGCCTTACGTTTTTACCTCAAGTGATGATATGCTGATTAAACTTTGGAATTGGGATAAAAATTGGGCCTGCACACAAGTTTACGAGGGGCATACACATTATGTCATGCAAATTGTTATTAATCCCAAAGATAATAACACTTTCGCCAGTGCTTCACTTGACAGGACCGTTAAAGTTTGGCAAATGGGCTCGAATACACCTAATTTCACCTTGGAGGGTCATGAGAAAGGTGTTAATTGTGTTGATTATTGTTACAGTGGTGACAAACCATATCTAATATCTGGAGCTGATGATAGGTAAAAACTTCAATTACAATAATGAATCCAAACACATTGATTTATAATCTATTTTTCTTTCCTCTTTAACTGTTTTACCAGAACCGTGAAAATTTGGGACTATCAAACTAAAACTTGTGTTCAAACCCTGGAAGGACATGCACAGAATGTCACTGCTGTTTGTTATCATCCAGAATTACCGATTATCATGACAGGATCGGAAGACGGTACAGTTAGGGTTTGGCATTTGAATACTTATCGTCGGGAAAGTACACTGAATTATGGTCTTGAACGGGTTTGGACAATTTGCTGTCTCAAAGGATCAAATAGTGTGGCAATCGGTTTCGATGAGGGTAGTATTATAATCAAATTGGGAAGAGAAGAGCCTGCAATGTCCATGGATAGTTCGGGTAAAATTGTTTGGGCTAAACACTCGGAGCTACAACAGGCCAATTTGAAAGCTCTTGTTGACCCGGAAGAATTGAAAGATGGATACATTTTACCTTTAAATGTTAAGGATATGGGAAGTTGTGAAATTTATCCTCAAACAATTTCTCACAATTCAAATGGTCGATTTGTTGTTGTTTGTGGTGATGGTGAATATATTATCTACACTGCCTTAACTCTGAGGAATAAAAGTTTTGGTTCAGCGCAAGAATTTGTTTGGGCTTTGGATTCAAGTGAATACGCTATTCGGGACAATACAACAACCGTTAAATTATTTAAAAATTTTAAAGAAAAAACTTCATTTAAACCCGAATCTGGAGCTGAAGGTATATTTGGAGGCTATTTTCTTGGTGTTAAATCAGTTGCCGGTTTAACTTTTTATGAATGGGATACACTTGAAGTTATCCGAAGGATTGAAATTCAACCTAAAAATGTTTATTGGTCTGATAATGGTGAATTAGTTTGTATTGCTACCGATGATTCATTTTATATTTTAAGATTCCTTCCCAATAATGTTGCCAAAGCAAAGGAGAATCGAAATGAACTAGTATCGGAAGATGGAATCGAAGATGCATTCGAGGTGGTAACTGATGTTCAAGAGATTGTAAAATCAGGATTATGGGTTGGCGATTGTTTCATTTATACCAGTGCAGTTAACAGACTAAATTATTTTGTCGGTGGTCAAATTGTGACCGTCGCTCATTTAGACAGGTAAGGAGTTTGAAACAATTGATAATAAAATGAATGATGAATAGTCGATGATAATTTATTTCTATTCTTTTTAGAACTATGTATCTTTTAGGATATATGCCGAAAGAAAATCGTCTTTACTTGGGAGACAAGGAATTGAATGTTGTCTCTTACTATCTTCTTCTCTCTGTCCTGGAATATCAAACAGCGGTGATGAGGGAAGATTTTGATGCTGCCGTTCAAATTTTACCCTCCATTCCAAAAGAACAGCGAACCCGAGTGGCCCATTTCTTGGAAAAACAAGGTTTCCTAAGTCAAGCATTGGAAGTTTCAACTGACCCAGAGCATAAATTTGACCTTTCACTTCAATTGAAAGACACTGATACTGCTCATAAATTAGCGGTTGATGCTCAGAGTGAACAAAAATGGAAACAATTGGCTGAATTAGCAATGTCCATATGTAAATTTGATTTGGCCCAAGAGTGTTTACACAACGCCAATGATTATCCCGGTTTAATGTTACTTGCCACCAGTTCGGGTAATTCAAGTATGGTCTCAAAATTAGGTGAAAAAGCTCATTCCTCGGGAATCAGTAATGTCGCATTCCTTTCATATTTTATTCTGGGTGAAAAAGAAAAAGCCCTTAACCTTTTAATTGACACCAATCGACTTCCCGAGGCCGCTTTCTTTGCCCGAACATACCTTCCCTCTCATGTACCACGAGTCATTAAATTATGGAAAGAGAGTATGCTGATTAAGAATGAAAAATTTGCCCAAGCTTTGGCCGATCCAACCGAATATGAGAATTTATTTCCCAATTTTCACGATGCCCTTTTAGCTGAACAATTTGTCGAAGATCAATCAACAACCAGGCGACCAAAAGCATTAGATTATCAATCTATCCTTAGTAACGAAGATAGAGATCCAATTGAAGAAGTTCGAGAAGCAAAAGAAGCTGGTACATTTACACCTCGACCAATTATCTTTCACAAAACAATTAACCAAGATGAACAAGATCAATTATCATCAGTAACCAAAGGACTAACTGATGTTAAGCTAAACGATGGTATTGTTGATGAAGATGACGATGAAGACGAAGCCATTTACACACCACCTGAAGATTAATCTAATATCTCACCTCGTCTTATCTCTCTCTCTCTCCCACTTTCACTCTCTCTCTCTCTTTCTCTCTCCAAATTATATCTTTTCAAAATCAATCTTTTTTTTGTCAAATATCAACAATCAATTTCTTAAAAATTTGTTATCCACAATCACCATTAAATATGAGAAATAATAATAATAAATTTAACAAGAATGGAATTACAACTTCGACACTTTCGAAACGTTCACTATTCAGTTTTCATAATTTGCAATCATGAAACAATCAGTTGATTAAACTTTAAATTGAACCGTTTTCACTCAAGAAATTAGGAGACGTTCCCTTGCAACGTAACTTGTTTTTGTAAACATTTGAAATCCATTCACTATTTGGATCAATAAAAAACATTGAGCAAGTTGTCACATTGTAAGGGAATCAATTAGTTAATTTGTTAATTGTGTGATTAAAAGATGGATAATTATATTAATCTAATTATGGACAAATTGCCTCCAAGTATTCGAGATGATAAATCAACACTGGTCGCTCTCGGTGTTACATTACTTGTGCTATTCGTGACTTTAAGTGAGTAAATCTGGTTGATTATTTTTTTTTATATTTTTCTCTTTGATTTTTTGTTATTGGTTCTCTTTTACCGGGCTAATTTAATTTCTTAATGTTTTCTTTTTGATTCTATAGTTGTTTTAGGTTTTATTTCTAAATCTCGAAAAGGATCTCGTGTTCTTTTACTTGGTCTTTCAGATTCGGGTAAAACTGTTCTATTCTCACAATTGGTTGGTAGTAAATCGGTTTCTACATTTACTTCAATGAAGCAAAATGAGTGTCAACTTGTCCTTCCAAAAAGATCTGTTGCTCTTATTGATATTCCAGGTAAGATTTTCGTCAATTTCTTTGTCACTTGGATTATATTTATTGATTGGCTTCTCTTTTTTTCTTTAATAAAGGGTTTGAAAGACTTCGTGATAAATATTGGAATGATTTAAAGAAGGGTGTTCGATCTATCGTTTTCGTTGTTGATTCTTATCAAATCACCTCGAATATCAAAGATGTTGCTGATTATTTTTATACAATATTAGCTGATAAATTGGTAATTTCACAAAAGATTCCAATCTTGGTGGCATGTAACAAACAAGATAAGCCAAAATCTAAAGCAGCGAAAGTTATTCGTACTCTTCTTGAGAAAGAGATTAACTCTATTCGAGAGACTCGAGCTGCTGCTCTCGAATCTACTGATGGTGACAATGAAAGAAGTCGAGTGATTGGCTCATTGGATCGAGAATTTAGTTTCAATGATCTAAAGAATACAATTGATTTCGTTGATTGTATCGCAGAATCAAAAGAAGACTCATCCTGTCAGATTGAAGACATTACCTGTTGGCTAAATAAATTTTAATATCAATTGTTTTCTAACAAAAAGAGTCAATAACAATCAAAAATTAATTTCCACTTCTCAAAACAAACTTAAACCAACAATTTGATTGATTTGGTTTTCTTTAAAATCAATCAAATTTTCATCGTTTGTATTTAATGTTTTCAGATGAAAACATTAAACATTATTAAGGTAAATACACAAGACCAACCAGTTGATAATCTCGATCAGTAACCACTAAAGCAACAATTATCTATCGATTCGGATGATCATCAACTATTTACTATTTTTTTCGCATCTTAATTCATTGAGAAAAATAAATTAATAAAAAAAGTGAAAAAAAAGCTTTACATTAGTTGAGTTCTTTTCCCATAGATGTCGCTTGATTCAAATTCTCCATTGAGTTAATTTTTTTGTTTACTTTTCTCTTGTAACTAAAATTCATCATCGGTCATTATTGATTCATCCATTTTCATGTAATTGTAAATCTTTTCCAGTGATTAATTAATTTCGTTGATTGATTTGTTTTTGCTAATTAATTACTCTTTCAATATGATGTCAAGATCGTTAAGAGCCGATACCAGAAGTCGTGCTAAAGATGACATGAAAAGAGCGATGCACGCAAAGGATAAGGTCAGAAAATGGTGAATATATTTTTTTCTTTTCGATTTTGCTTTTTTCTTTTTGTAGAATTTTGTTCAATTCTTTTTCAATATTTTTAGCTTGACTATTATTCATTCTCTTTGTTTACAATGTTGTTCTATCCTTTTTTTCTTTGTTACGTAATCGAAAAACAGGGAAAAGAAATGGGTCACAATTGGAGATACTTCCATGAAAATCTTCAAATGGGTTCCTGTCACCAACTATGACTCTGTAAGTGAATTCAAAAATTGTCGCCATTTTTAATTAATGATTTTGATTTTTTTTCATCAATTTATGGTTGATATTGTTTTTTTTTTGTTAACCCTTTTAATTTTATTGTAATATTTACAATATTGTTTTCTTTTTGCAAATTGAATTTTTTAGGTTCCACAAAACAAAAATCTAAAAGGAAAATCAATCGCTCATAACAAGGAGAATATTGAAGAGAAAGGAAAAAGTCACTCTCTAAGTCGTAACGATGCTACAACTAACTCATCATTCTCATCAGTTTCAAATGTTCTTGTTAATAATGACCAATCTATAACTGGATTCTCTGAAACAAGTCAAGATGATTCAACCAATCATGAGGAAAAGACCCATGTAACTACATCAACATTACTCGGTGAAAACAGTAGTGATGCTCAATTTCCAGACAATGTCACATCAGACAGATCATCAGGGCATCTTAACTAAATTATTTCATAACAATCATAATAATCACAATAATAATCATCATCATATTCAATCGGAAAAACAAAAGTTTAAAATTAAATCATTAACAATTAATTCCTACATCTGAAAATTAAACTTTCCGTTTAAATTTCAACGAAACATATTACTGATGTTTCTCAATCATCTTAAACCGGGAATTAATTTAGTTTCAACACTCAATTAATCACTAAACAAGAAACAAAAATCAATACAGAACTCAATCAGTTATATCCTCGACAGTTAACAAAAAGACAATTATAAAAGCATTTGTATTTGATGATGAGATGAAAAAAATAATGTTCATTATTTAGGGAATTGTTACTTAAGTAAACAGTTGATTGTCGTAATTACTAAAGTATTGGTTGTTTTTTAGCCAATTGAGCAATGATTAAATCTACTATTTTTCAATTCCAATTCATTTAGGTCAGAAACAAAGTCTGATCCTAATGATGAATGATTTTTGTTAATTGTAGCAATTTGTTCATCTTTGTGGATTTAAATCCAGTTCAACAATGAAGTTGATCGGAAATTTGTTGAAACCTTGACAATCAATTGATGATATTTCTCATTGTTATCGGTTAATGAGTGTTAATTGTAAATCAACTGATGAACAAGTTAAATTGATTAAGAGGAATGATCAATATTCATTGCGTTCAACTTTCATACGATGTTTACTTTTCATTATTAGATTACCTGAACTCGAAAATCTGAAAACCAGCACCAAACAATCAATCGATAGATTTGAAAAGATCACTGGTCATTTTATGGCTGTTTTGTCGGGTACACAAGTTCGCGATCATTTGAGATTCGTCTTTTCATCGTTCGATTGTCAATCTTTCTCGTATTGCCTTTATGTTAACATTTAAGGACCAAAAGATTAATCTAATTCTAGGGAAATTCATGTATCAGGCCAAATACGGTAAAGCGGTTTTCTTTATAAAGGTGATCACATTATCCATTCTTTTCGTTTTGGACGAAATTTTCTTGACCCAGGAAACATCGGGTTCATTCAAATTATTTCGATACATTGATAAGTTGCGACAAAACAATCTAAACCCCGCACCAATTGGACTTTCTGCAAATAATAATTTAACTAATTTACGATCAACAACTCACATCATCACGACCCAAACAAGTCGAATCATGAAAATTTCCCATACCAACATATTGATCGCACCTTTACTGACCATTCTGACCCAAACTCTAAGTCCAGTGCACTCCTTTTCTATCATCACCTGGTCACTTAATTTAGTTTACCCGTTCAACAATTAAGGCAAATAGTTTTTCCTCAATAATAGTCGTCGTTTTCATGTCGGATGTTCACATTTTTTTCGGCATCATAATCAGAATGGACCCTCAGGTCATATCTAATTTACTAGCAATCAACGGTTGGGTTATATTGTTTTCCGCTTTAATTGCTATTCACACTTTTGAAATCCACTTGAATAAGGTAAAGTTAATTATAATTGTAGTTAACTCACTAATCGGGATCGATTGTTTCAACAGCTACAATCAACTACTGTTTATTTTCATCAAGTTTGTTGCCAAAATCTCACTTGATACTAATATTAAGGTGAGTAAATTCATTTGAAATTTTGATCAGGTTAATTGTTATTTCATCTAATTATAATGAATTGCTGAAGTTATGGACTGAATGTCGAGTCCTTATAACGGGTTGAGGCTGAAGACTTTTTCACTCTAACAACAGAGCTTTTCGTCATCGTGGGTTTTAATTGCTGAATTTTTCTCTCAACAATTTAGTTTCTTGCTGAAAAGGTTTCAACAATGATGCTGTTCGATATTTGATTCAATGGAATTGATCAATTGTAAAACTGATTTGTATTAAAGGAAAGAAAAGGAATTGAATAAATTGTGTGTGAATCTATTTTTTGTTTTTGTTATGATTCCAAAGTATTTATTGTGCTCAGACAATTTGTGATAATATTTGATAAATATACAAATTAGTTGCGATGATGATATATGTTCATTGAAGATAAATTTGATAAATGGATTGTGAATAGTTATGTAAGTGTATATGTTATGAGGTAAATTGGATAGATTAAAAGAGTAAATTAAATTGATTAAGCTTCACTTTCCTCCGTAGGTGAGTATTCATCTGATTCCTCAGGTGCCAAATATTGCTACAATTAGATGTTCCTTTGACATGAGATTATAGTTAATTACAAAAATCGTGAATCGTTTACCAAAGGGCGACTTGTATTATTGAAAATTCACCAAAATACTTGGATGATAAAAAAAGTCTGACCAAATATTCGATATAATCGTCGACACACTGAACCTAATTTACTATCAGATGAAACATGTAAAGAGGTTTTAGTTTTGTTTTGTTTCTCATTTTTGATTTAAGTCAAAGGTTGAAGATGTTGATTTGATAAAAGTTGATCGTGGAAAAATCAACATAATGTTTTGAACCGGAAGATTAATTATCTTGTAACTGGTTCCATGAGCTAATGGTGGAAATAAGCATGCCAAAGAATAATAATAATAATAAGAAGAAGAATTGATAAAACATCTTAGAAAATGAATGAATGGATAACGAGTTAGAATTGAATTTCCGTAAGCTTGTTTTCACTAACCAGAATTTTTTGATAAAATCTTGTCAACTTATTAAGATATTGGTGTTTTTTCATATTGGAGTAAATTATCAGGTTAATTGTTGTAGATGTTGTTGTAGATGTTGTTGTTGAAAATGTTGTTATTGTGATGCTATTGTGGATGTTTTTGTAGAAATTGATGTTGATGTTGATTTTGTTGTTGTTTTTCCTTTAGACGATTGGATTGAAATTTTCGATTATCAAATGTTTCCCATGTTGGTGAAAAATTGAGTATCCTTTTTAAGCTTCACTTTCTTCAGCAGCTTCTGGGACTTCTGATACTTCCGGTGCCAATATTGGTACAATTAAATGTTCCTTTGACATGAGATTATATTTTGTTACAAATATTGTAAATCGTTTACAAAGGTGACTTGTATTCTCAAACTCATCGAAAACACTTCGATGGTGAAAATATGCATGACCAAATATCCGATATACTCGTCGACACACTGAACCTAATTTACTAACAGATGATTCCTTCATGGTTACTCGAGAAGGAAAATATTTTGTATTATTTAAAAGACAAGAAGCTCCATCCAATGTATGACGGGTATAGTCTATGGCAGGACATTCTTTCGGTGTTTTATGGGCTGCACACAAGAAAATCCATTGCTCCGTTGCGGTCATTTGTATACACATCTCGGGAAGACATTCTTTCTGTAATTTAACAGCTAATTTATTTAATTCCATACAAAATTGACGAAGATGCTCATATTTCCAGGTTCCTTCATCTTGACCCTCCGGTGGTGATAATATTTCATCAATATTTGAAGTATTACAGCGAATTGATTGTTGAATTAACTGTTGTACTGCCAAAGTTGAATCCATATCTTCAAACGATTCATCGGCCCAATCATTAAATTCAATACTTTTTATTCCTTTGGAATTGCGTCGAAATATTCTACCAGCAACTGTCATCATAATTATTTTTACCTTTACCTTTACCTTTCTCTCTTTCTCTCTCTTTTTCTCTCTATCACTTTTTCACTCCTTCACTTTTCTCAATTTTCAATCTTTATCTCTCCAATTGTGTCTCCTTCTCCTCTCGTTTTGTCTCTAAATTCTTTTTCGTGATCTTTCAGGTTATTAACACCAAAAGAAATCACAGTTTATCACATTAACACCACCAATCACCAAGAAAAAAGAGAAGAAAATTTTTTTAAAAAGAACAAAACTCAATGAGAAAATAATGATTGATCTGTTAGCGGACTTATACTGTGACTGGTATTGGTATTGGTGCTTCCATCATTGGTACGACGAAAAAAACTGTGCTGAAGCGCAAGGTGAGGTGTTAGACGATTTTTCGGATTATAATCTAGCATCCTTAAAATGAGATCTTTAAATTTTAAATAATCGGACACTGAATGACCAGGTTCACCTAAACGTCGTCCACCAGGACCACCGGTTTCTACTCCCAAAATGTCATGGAGTTTCCTTGAGCCAGGAGGCATATACTTTTTACCTTCCTGTGTTAGCTTGAGTGTATACTCTCCTCCATCAGAAGTTTTATCGAAAAATTTGGTTGATTTTGCTGTTTGGTCAAGAAGATATTTAGGTGGTAAACCAAGTACTTCGACAATTTTATTTATCTGGTCAAATTCATTTGCACCACTGAAAAGAGGTTCTCCTGTGTGCATCTCTATCAATATACAACCAAGCGACCACATATCTATTGCCATGTCATAACCAATACCAAGTAAAACTTCAGGTGATCGGTAAAACCGGCTTTGAATATATTGATAAATCCTATTGCCCAGTTGACAGGAGCTTCCAAAATCAACTATTTTGATGGCACTACGCTTGGGGCTACAGAGAAGTATATTCTCTGGTTTTAGATCACAATGAATAACAGATACTTCAGGATGGGTGAGGAACATCAATGCTGTACAGATTTGCTGAGCAAATTTACGGGTTAGATTAAGAGAAACACCGCGAAAATTGGTATTCCTTAGAAGATCATATAAATTGTAAGATAACAATTCAAAGACTAGGCAAAGATGATTACGCCACATAAAGTGTCCCTTTAATTGAACAATCTTCTCTTTACCGGCTGAATATATTGATCCATTTGCATCAAAGTTATTCATCATATCCAACAGTTTTACCTCAATTTGTGCCTGATTGAGAAACGGTTTCTTATTCTTAATTATCTTAATGGCAACATGGCATTTTTCTTTGATATCATAGGCTTTGACTACTTGTCCAAATGATCCTTTGTTAATTAGAGAATCAATCTCATACCTATCGGAAAATCTTTCACCTGGTCTAACAATATAATCATGATTTTCATCATCATGTCCATCATTGTGTAGTTTTCTCTCCTTTTTATGGGTTGTATTATCATCTTCACCTTGATTTTGTTGAGCACGTCGTTTCTTTTTAGCATAATACATCTCGTTTATCCTTTTATATGTTTTTATCAGGTCCACACTAAGCTTACGTAAAGGTGCTGATGCTGGATCACGGAGTTTTAAGTTTAACAATTTAGATGAGTGATTGGAAAGTGAGGAAACAATTACATCATTACAATTTACAACAGTTCCACTACCATTATTTATACCACCAACTCCTACACCTCCTACACCACCACCACCGCCACCACCTCCACCAGTAACATTAACACCAACAACAACAGAACCAACAGATTGTCCAGAATTGGCTGTAGATGAAGCAGCAGCAAGGGCAACTAATTGATCCTGAGTAACAAGTCTACCATACATGCCGGTGACTGTTAATAGTTGATTATGATTTACTGGTTAACTAATTAACTGAAAAATTGAAAACATTAAAAATATGGTAATAAAACACCAAAGAAAAAAATATATTAACTTAGATATTATTGAAGATGAAGAAAAAAAAATAAATAGAGATTTTTTCAGTTTTCAAAAGAAAGTAAAAAAAAAGTAAGACAAAAATGTAGACAGAGAAAAGAAAGAGGAAAAGTTAACGACATCTAGTGGAGAAAAAGAGATAACCACTTAATTCTAATTCTAAATCTCTTTGTGCTCAGCGCCATCTGGAGTTTCTTTTTCTAAACTCTGTTGATGTTGAATTTTTTTCTTTCTTTTCTATTGTTTGTTTTGATTTTTATTTCTTATCAAATTAAATTAATCAACATTTCTTTTTTGGTATGTTTGCAGTTTAGATTAGAATTTGGTTGAAATTGGTCAACTAATCTATTTAATGGAATTGGATTAACGTTCCTGTTTTCCTGTTTATCATTTAATTTTATAAAAATTCAATTTCCTTTGCTTATTAACTTGTCAAGTCTATTGAGTTTAATTTTTTTGTTTTCTCTCAATTGAGTTGTTTTTAAATTTTCTTCGCATCTTATTTTTTTGTGATTGGTGGTGCTAATGTGATTTCTTTTGGTGTTAATAACCTGAAAGATCACGAAAAAGAATTTAGAGACAAAACGAGAGGAGAAGGAGACACAATTGGAGAGATAAAGATTGAAAATTGAGAAAAGTGAAGGAGTGAGAAAGTGATAGAGAGAAAGAGAGAGAGAGAGAAAGGTAAAGGTAAAGGTAAAAATAATTATGATGACAGTTGCTGGTAGAATATTTCGACGCAATTCCAAAGGAATAAAAAGTATTGAATTTAATGATTGGGCCGATGAATCGTTTGAAGATATGGATTCAACTTTGGCAGTACAACAGTTAATTCAACAATCAATTCGCTGTAATACTTCAAATATTGATGAAATATTATCACCACCGGAGGGTCAAGATGAAGGAACCTGGAAATATGAGCATCTTCGTCAATTTTGTATGGAATTAAATAAATTAGCTGTTAAATTACAGAAAGAATGTCTTCCCGAGATGTGTATACAAATGACCGCAACGGAGCAATGGATTTTCTTGTGTGCAGCCCATAAAACACCGAAAGAATGTCCTGCCATAGACTATACCCGTCATACATTGGATGGAGCTTGTCTTTAAATAATACAAAATATTTTCCTTCTCGAGTAACCATGAAGGAATCATCTGTTAGTAAATTAGGTTCAGTGTGTCGACGAGTATATCGGATATTTGGTCATGCATATTTTCACCATCGAAGTGTTTTCGATGAGTTTGAGAATACAAGTCACCTTTGTAAACGATTTACAATATTTGTAACAAAATATAATCTCATGTCAAAGGAACATTTAATTGTACCAATATTGGCACCGGAAGTATCAGAAGTCCCAGAAGCTGCTGAAGAAAGTGAAGCTTAAAAAGGATACTCAATTTTTCACCAACATGGGAAACATTTGATAATCGAAAATTTCAATCCAATCGTCTAAAGGAAAAACAACAACAACAACAACAACAAAATCAACATCAACATCAATTTCTACAAAAACATCCACAATAGCATCACAATAACAACATTTTCAACAACAACATCTACAGCATCAACAACAATTAACCTGATAATTTACTCCAATATGAAAAAACACCAATATCTTAATAAGTTGACAAGATTTTATCAAAAAATTCTGGTTAGTGAAAACAAGCTTACGGAAATTCAATTCTAACTCGTTATCCATTCATTCATTTTCTAAGATGTTTTATCAATTCTTCTTATTATTATTATTATTCTTTGGCATGCTTATTTCCACCATTAGCTCATGGAACCAGTTACAAGATAATTAATCTTCCGGTTCAAAACATTATGTTGATTTTTCCACGATCAACTTTTATCAAATCAACATCTTCAACCTTTGACTTAAATCAAAAATGAGAAACAAAACAAATTCAACCCTCTTCAAGTGTCCACACTGTAACATTCATAGAGAAATTTACTAATTGTCATCAAAAATCTAAAGCTTATTGATATTAAATTGTATCATTATGTTTACCCTGAAGTTGAATGATTAAAAGAATACAAAATGACTAATTAAACACAAATATCATCTAAAAATTTAATTTTCAAAACTAAAATCTGAAATTCTATTAACAAACAAAACTTCCACTAGATGGCGACACAAATCGTCTTTTCTGATTTGTTTACATTTTTTGACACAAATCATTTAGAAAATTTGTCTGTAATTATCTAATTGTCTTCGTTTAATTGCAAATTAACTGATTGAATTTTCATTTAATAATTAATTTAAATTGTTTCATTAGGAATCATGGTTTGCCTTCCTTGTTTCTTCGGCCCTGTTATGGTTGTTCTGCTTCTCATTTGGAGTAAATATCTTCAACCAATTTTCCAGCCAATTATTGATGCTTGGTTTACACCTAAGGAGATAAAGGTAATTAACTTAATCTATAATTTGATTTTTCTATTCAAATGTGATTTCTATTAATCTCTTGTACGTATTCTATTCTTTATACAGGCTGGTAAAAAGGATGATGGTGGCAAATCTGATGGAAATGCTTCCTCATCGTGTCCATTTGAAAAAAGTGAAAAACCAGTCAAGGCTGATTAATTTGTTCTTCACAACTAATCATGGAAAAATAAATCGATTCTATATTGCACGATTAACAATATTTCGAACAGTGACCATTTAAATATCTCACCTCTTTCTCCATTGAAAACATATATATCTGTGAAATCTTGTGCTTTTGGCTTTTTATTTACTTTCCTTAACGCTGCTGAATTTGAATGTTTCAATAATTGTCATTCCAATTTCTTTTGCTATTTTATTATATTCTGTTAACTCTCATAGTCTAATGTCTAATATAATTTAAATTGTAAATAGCTAAACATTCTATTAACACCAGATTCCAGTTATCATGATTATAAATCCACCTTAATCTATAAATACTATTAATCAATCGGAAAGGAAATTACCAGCAGAACCATCAGATGAGGAAAAGGAAAAAGATTTCAAGAAAAGATTCAATCAACACCAAAGAAGAAACGAAAATGATTGAAATTAACGAAATCGAAATGACCAATCATCAGTTAATCAATGTAACCAATAATTACCAATCTTAAAAACCAAAGAAAACGCCATATTAACTAATCTGGAACTCAACAATTAACTCATTGGGGAATGATAATATCTTCATTCAATCTCTGATACATTTACATGATTAGGATTTTCAATCATAAGTTAATTAGCTGATATAAATCCAATCGAATTGAAATGGAAAAATTGAATCGATTAACGATACAATCAACCTCGGTTAAATAACCTTCTCTAATGATTATTATTATTTATATCACGATGATTACTAGTTATTGAAAACTTGATTAACAACTCGTACAGAAATTTAATCGCCATGGTTAAAACTCCCTAAGGCAATTTAACTACAAAAAAGTTTTCCCTTTCAGTTGATTAGATTTAGTTACCATTTTGATTTCCAATAAGTTTGTTGTACTTTAAATGTTTAATTTAACAAACAAAAGGACCAGAAATACAAAATTAAAGTTAATTAAGTTATAATACAATACCTAATTAAGAGTTAATTGTTTAAAATTACCTTTAATTATTATCAGTGAATTTTTATTCATTTCTCTTGGCGTTTCGGTTAATTGTTGTCATCATTTAATTACAGTCAATTAGGAGACAGTAAACAAATTGTTTCTTGTTTTGTGAATAAACAACAATCAACAAAGTTACGATTCTCATACAAATCAACAATCATGTCAACTAATTGTGACAATAATAATAAGCAAATTACTAATAAAAGTGGTCCCCTTGTTAAGGAGATGCAACAACGATTTAGTCAATTAATCAAAACTGATTCGGAACAATTTGATGAAGAAGACATTAAAAGGGTAAAGTAATTTAATTTTTTGTCAACAATCAGTAAGTAACAATTAGATTACCAACAATAATCATCAATGGTTCATTAATTTACCTTTTTCTGTTGTAGATCTTGTCTTAATTATAATACTATATTGTGATTTAGGTTAATCAAAAATTCAAATAGTCGAAACCAAAATTAGTTTAGAAAACAATTAACCTTAACATTGATCATTCATTTCATCAATCGACAAAATAAAACTTCATCTTCTTCATCTTGATTTTAAAGTTGATTTAGTTTAAAATCAAGTGATTAAAATTAAATCTCCTCGTGATTAACAACAAACTCAAGGTAAACAATTAATGAACCATAGCCATGATTAGTATCATGATTAACCAGATGAAAGTAAAAACTAGTAAATTACAAATAAAAATTTCTCATTAATAAGTAACTCTAATCGTTGGAATCTTATTCAACTATTGGATTAATCAGATAGCCGAAGATGATTTTTTCGTTAAGCGTTTTCTCATCTCTAGAAAGCGAAACGTTGACGCAGCATTTAAGATGATGATCGGAACATTAAAATGGATCAAACAGGAAAACTTTCGACGAACTGAGGCCAACACTTTTCCCGCTGAGTTTTACTTTATCGGTGCTCTATTTGATTATGAGCCCGATCTTGAGGGTAACTTTACGATTTACATTCGAGTCAAATATATACTTAGATGTGGACCTTGGTACCTCATGCGATCTCTTGGGCGAGTAAATTTTTCTACGATCTCGATATTAAACTCCAAGGTGCCTTCTACACGGTACTAATTGATTTCCAAGGATGTGGCCTGAAAAACGCTGAATTTGAGTTCATCTGGCATGCAATTAACGTCATGAGAACCTATTTACCAGCCTGTTTAAAGCAAATTCTGATAATTGATTTACCCAAGATCTTTAAATTTGGTTGGGCGATTGTCAAGAAATTAGTACCCGAAAGTGAACGGTCAATCCTTGTGTTTATTTCGAGACCTGAGATTTTCAATTACATTGCCAAAGAAAATGTTCCCGATTTCCTTGGTGGATCGTGTTCTCGACCCAATCAAGGTCCATCAATGGTACCCGAAGGTTGTCCAACCGCAATTGAATATGGACTTTCCAAAGGTGTTCCTCTTGACCAGTGCCTTAAAATGGTCAAAATATATGAGCCGATAATCAGAGAGTACAATTTATTTCAAATGGCTGATACCAATGGCGATTTAATTGAGAAAGTTGAATCACAATTTAAAAGTCTCTCTCAAGGTAAACCATTAGAAAATCCATCACTAACTGTTGATGATCAACAATCAACTTAATTCTCAATTAAATGGATCAATTTAAATTAAATTACATTTTTTATTGATTAAAACAAAACATTACAAAAATGATCATAGTGATTTCTTTATAAAAGTAACAATAATATTTGCTTTTGAATTTAAATAGTTAGAAAAAGTTTTTAAATTTTACAGTTAATTGTGTTTAATATTATAACGGATTAATCAGAATTGATTTTATATTTTATGATTTAGAAGGTTGGAAATGATTTAAAAATAAATGGGATGATTTAAGTGAGAATGTGTCAATTTTACCTCGCTGATAAAGTGATGGAAGTTAATTTAGAGAATTGGTCATCACAATTAAATCTAATCAAGGGAAGATAATTGTTACAGATTATTTTTCACTCAACTGTTATAATACTGATATTGGTATACGACGTCTCATATGGTCACCTGGACTAACGGCAATGACCATCGGCATCTTATTCATTTGTCCAGGTTTGAATCCTAAACGATTGTTCAAATTAAAGTCATTAGATGATGAATGTGAGGGTTGGTGTGGAGGTGGTGGTGGTGGTGGTGGTTTGTGGTGAGTGAATTGAGGTGGAAATGATGATAATAATGGAGGTGCTAAAGGAGGTGAAAATTTAACCGGTAATTTTGGGTCGTTGGGAGGTTTGAACGGGGATGACAATGGTCTCCATTGACCAAAGTCAAGAGATGTGACTTTTATTGATGTGCCCGGCGGAGGTTTATGATTAGGTGGGATTGGTGATACAGTTCCTAGAGAGATGGTTGATGGTTCTGGTAGAGGAGTTGTTGTAGTTGTTGTGGTTGTGGTTGTTGTGGTGGTTTTCAATCGTAAACCGGCAAGAAGAGATGGAAAATCAATTCGTGTTCGTGTTGTTTTGTGAGTAAACAAATTGGGATCTCGACTGGTTAATTTAATTGATTCATCGGTATAAACAATTGGTGGTGGTTCCGGAGTTGTGGTTGTGGTTGATGATGATGTCAATCTCATTCTTCTTGTTGTAAACAATGGAGGTATTGTTGTGGATGAAGATGTTGATGATCTTGTTGTCGTTGTTGTTGTGGGTGTAGTTGATGTAGTTCTAATTGTTGTAGGAGCTACTGTTGTTGTCGTTGAAGATGGCGATGATGATGATGATGCTATACTACCGGTCACGGGTCGTACTGTTGTTAATGAAGGTCGAGATGGTCTAAGTCGACTTGCAAATCGATTAATTAATGAATCATTTGGATTATCATTTGAATAACGACGATTGTGTTGTGTTGCTGATGACATTAATTGATTGTGACCAATATCATTGTGATCATTGTTGTTATAATTAGCTAATGGCTTTTGGTGTTTGTTATTTGACTTTAAAGAAATCAATGGACGGGGTGTTGTCGTCGACGTTGTTGTTGTTGTTGTTGTTGTTGTTGTGGTAGTTGTTGTTGTAGAAGTTGATCCTTGAGGTGTTGTCTTAGTTACTACTTGTAGTAAGGTGGGTTTTCTAGTTGATTGTTTCAAGGGTTTCAAATGAATCGCCGTTAAAACTGAATCAACGGGCTGATTACCTTCATTTCTTTCATAGAAAACATTTCCTCTTGTTATCTGTAAAGGAACTGACTGATCTTTCAAATTCAACATTGGATCTGTATGATATGATGTAACTGTTAACGAATCAAGATCGATCTCAGGTCGACCTGGTCCAATCATACGAAGTTGAACTAATCCTTCCCTCATCTCATGTTGAACCAAATGGGGAATCAGATTATCATTTTGAGATGACGATCGCGATTCAATATTATTATTGTTTCGTCCAAAGGCCAATGTGTTGCGAGCTTGAAGTATCTTTTTACGGTCAAGATAAACTCGAAAATGGACAATCAATGAGCCTTTTCGAAAAGCATAAACTTCACTTTTAATAATTGAATTTTCAATTGAAGTCCATTGAAAAGCTGAATGAATCTGTAACATTAAAAGGAATAAAAAAAATTAATTGATTAGTACAATTAAGTTTTGATATTTTACATAAATATGATAATAATAGAGGTGAAGTCACTTGAACAATTTTAGACTAATCAATTTAATTTGAATAATAGAAACAATCAGAAATTATCACAATTAATCAGCTAATTTTATGATTTGTTACAGTGAAAATTTAAATTTAGATCAATTTAATGACTCAATTGAATTAATTATGATAAAACAATAATGATTCTCATCATCTTAATGATTAAGACTTTTAATGATAATTATAATCAGATTGGGGAATGTGAATTAATAGTATTTATTAGGATATAAGAGAAGATTAAATTAATAAAATGGGAATGGTCAATTCACTTGAAACAATTTAGATTGACCAGCTAAAGGCAATTTACTCATTAATTTACTAAGTTAATTGCTGGTAAATTTAAAAGGTACGAATGACTTTGAAATTTAAGAGGAGGAGGATGGAGATGATGATGATGATGATGAGGATGACGATGAGATAATAAAATCGTTGTGTGAAAGTCTAACTTTAACCTGGATTAACTGAAGAAACATTTACTATCTGATTGGGAGGATGATGAAGATGGATGAAGATTATGAAGATTATGATGAGAGAGAGAGAGAAAGGTAAAAAAGGAAAGGGTAGATGAAACAATTTACAATTAAATGATATTTCCCAGAGTAAATTGTTAAATTGGTTTGAGATGAGAATCACATTAAAAACAATGCTGTTCCAGTTACCACACCCTAGAAAGATGAGGATAAAGATGAAGATGAATATGATGATGGTGATGATTAAATTTAAAGAGAAAAAGGTAATGATGATGTTGATGATTGTTAGCAAAATGCAAAAGAAAGGGTGGAAATGAGGGAAATCTAAAGGAAAGGTAAATAGTTACATCAATTAGAGGTTTAATTTTATATTCTTATTATGCTTAATCATAATCATCATCAGCTTAACTATTGCAATTAGTTTAACCATTTACGCCCTTACAAAACTGCCCCAAGGCACCGGATGGGTGATCGCAACTACAAGTCAAACGTTGTAGGAGTGATCATCATCATCATAATCATCACCATCATCATCAAAAAGGAATCAAAATAATCAAGATTTACCGTTAACTTCAAATATTCATTATTATTGATTGTAAATCGTAAATAAAAAAAACGAGATTATTTTTCCCATTCAATTGGAACGATGATTTTCAAGATCATGAGAGTTTGTTGTTGCATTTTTTTTCATGATGATATTGGTAGTTGATTGTTATCAATATTATCGATAAAAAAATCATCAGCTTAATCTTAATCATAGTCAATAATCATTATCAATCATTTAGAATGATGATAATCACAGAAAAAAAATATTCAATGTTGTTCTGATTTAGTAAACGTATAAAAAGTAAATCATGTTAATGAAATGAAGCGCAGAAGAAAAAAAAATGAAAATGATCTAAATTGGGAAAGATTAAGATTATCAGCAAAGTGTTAATCTCTAAGCAAATTCACTATTCAGATTAATGATTAATCAGCTAATCAGAATACAATAAATGGAAATTATTGCAAGTTAATTTTTTTTCACCCTTCTTCTTATTATAATAGTTGAAACTTATCATTAGAAGAAAACTTTTCCCTAATATCCTACATTCGCATTGTTGGGCTCAAGTTAATTGTTACAATTTAAATTCAAGTGAATTCATGTTGATAACAATAACAACATGATGATGATAATGATGATGATGATTAAGAATGATGAATATTATAAAGAAATGAAATTTTCTCTTCTTCTAATGATACAGTAATCATATTCATCTTTTTTAGAGCTTATGATTTTTTCTTTCAAAAATTCTTATTATTATTGGATATTGAATAACAACAGAATTTCATTCCAAGGTGGTTATCTTGTGGGTGAGATATTGAACAGATCATCATCATCATCATCGTCATTTTAATCTCCATCTTGTTCCTCGTTGAACAATAAGAGTAATTCAGTGAATAACAAGTAAATAATGATGAGGACATTAGAATCTAAGATGATGATGATAATATGTTGTATCTTTTCATTGGATTTCTTTTCATCATCATTATTATCATGAAAACAATGATATCTTCAAACATGAACTTTTGTCAACTTTATATTATCATTTGTGAGTCTTTTTCACCTTTTTCAAAGGTGAGACTTGATAAGAAACAGCGGGAAACCTGATGCTTTTCAATTAGAATCAGATTATTATGTGTATTAGGTAACGATGAGAAAACAGGATTGACAATTAGATAGTTTTAAGAATTAGCAATTGGTTAATGTAATTAAACACACCAATCTATTCAGTTTCTTTCTAAGATTATCAATTGAAATTAATTGCAATCAAATTGGCATTTCAATTCTCTGATTACAATTAACTGAACAAGAAATCAAGGAAGAGAAATAAAGTTAAAACAATGATAAAGAAAAAAAAAGTCACATTAAGATGAATAGATTTCACTAATCAGTAAAATGAACTATCAACAATTAAGATTGATTGAGAAAATTTTTAATTAGTCTAACCGATTGGAGATGATGAAAGAATCAGAAAGTATTATATTATAAAAACGGATAAAAGGAAGGAAGTTAAAATAATCGTTAATTGTGTTTCAGTTTATTCAAATTCATTGAAAGTAATTAAAACGATTTCGATTGTTGTTTTTAGTATTATTGTTGTTGTTAGACAATTAATTAGACTAATTAACTTACAATGGCATTGTATTTTTCGGCTTTCTCATGAAAAGATGTAGACGATGTATTGTACAAGGAAGGGACAAAATCGTCACCAGATATAACACGAAAACGTCCACTAACAGGTAATATTGTTGCTTTGGATAGATTAGTGATGATACCTGTTGATGGATTAAGATTAAAATGGATTAGTATAATTAGATTGTCCATTCGGTAATTGTAATCGTGATGAAGAGATGAAAAGTAGCAAATTATTCAAGATAATTAGATGAAATTGTGAGTGACTTTAAATTGTAAGTGTAGTTGTTGGTCAATTGTGTGTTGGCTGATGACCTGTTTCTTGTATCACAACATCCGGCAGGACATCGTCCTCATCATCATCATTACTATTATTATCTTCATCTTCATCTTCATCTTCTTTCCTTTTCTCTTTTTCTTGTTATTTTTCATTATCATCTTCAGACTGACCAGTTACTTTTTTTGAAAGTGACCATCTCTCAGTATGGCTTATGATGATGACAGACTTTAATTATTATAATGTAAGTTTAAATTATCATTTAGATGATGATGATGATGATGATGATGATACAGATGAAGCAGATAATGAAGAAGAAGATGATAAAAAAGATTGACCAGTAAGTTAAATCGTGTGAACCTGGTCATCTCTTTAACTGGACATTCAACAGTTGTATTTATTAATAACACAACAGCGTAAATTAAATTGCAATGACTAAATTTACATGTTAACCCTTGAGGGCATTTTACACTTGGAAAAATTAACTAACTAACCAAATAGTATTATTATTAATAGTTTCAGCTTATCTGTATCATTTTACTCAATCACAAAGTTAGTTAATTGTTCCCATTGAACAAAATTAAGATAATTTAAAGGACAAAATGAGCCTAGAAATTTGTATTATTCAATTGTGTATTAATTGAGTAAAAAATGACAATCTAATAATTTAAGTTTCTTAAACAATTTAGAAATCAAATTAACTTCATGAAAAACTTTCCATCTCAATCAAGAACAACAATAATTGATTGTTGTTGGTTAAATGATAAGTCAACAAGATAATTTGAATCACGAAAATCAATCAGCAATATTATCAATCATTTGTTTTCAATTATTATTACAATTAAGGTAATAACAATTTACCCAACTCAATTTTGCATAATTAGTATAATTAAAGTGATGATCATTCAAATCAATTGATCAAAACAATCAAATAAAAAATAATAGTTTTTAATTGAATTGGTGAAAAAAAAAGGTTAAGCCTTTGATCATGATTTTTCATGATAATTTCAAGCAATCAATTAATTCTTGTAGTTTATTGTAACAATTAAATATGCTAAATTTGGTTTACGTGAATTCAATGGATTAAAATTGAAGTCAATTTTCAACAATTTACTTGCAAATCATTTCGTATGATAATCAAAAATAATCACCCAAATGGTTATCATGTAAATTGGTGAGATTAGATTAAGATGAAGTTTTCTTATTATTGATCAATGATCAACATGATTACCATGATTAAAGTTACATTTAAATAGTTATTTTGAGAATCAAGATTAACTGGGAAATTTAATGTAATATAATTAAGTTAATAGCAGAGAAATGGTGAAGAAAAATCTAATTAAATTGTTGGAGTAAATTTAAAATTATGAATGTTCAATTGTTATCATGTTAATCAACATATACTGACAATAGATTGTAACTGTAATTGAGTTTGTTATTTATCTGATTGTTGTTGAAATGACAATTCTAATCAGGAACTGATTAACAGTTTTCTTAAGAAAAAGGTTAATCATATTCAAGACACCAAGTTAATCATCATCATCAAAATAAGGCCTTTGTTTCAGGGTTAGGAACAATCAAGATTATCTCTCTCTCTCTCTCTCTCTCTCTCTCATAATAATTTAATACTAATGCAAATCTGATCATCATGAGCATCATCAACATGACAATTCAAGCAATCAGAATATTTTAAAATCAATGAAAATTCAATTGTTATCAAAGTGAAAAACAAACTAAGGTAAAAGGAAGTAATCAACTAGATGATAATCAGTCAAGTTGATTGTTATCATTGATCTAAAGTGTTGAATTGAGTAAAAAAAAAGATGATGGTAAAAACTTTATGATTAACTAATCAAATCAGGATCAGAATAGGAAATAACAATAAGTATTGGAAAAGGTTATAAATATTAATCATGAATCGCTGATTAGGATTGGAATAAGATTAAGTAATGATATTGATTGTATCTGATTTGCAATGGACGAGAACAGAAATGATTAAGGTAATTTCAACAGAATTAGATTTATACCAATAAATATCGTAAAGATAATTTCAAGAAAACCACTGAATCAATTCATTGTCATGATAAAGTCGCAATTTGCTTTATCATGATAATTTTCATTCCAAATACAATGAAAATCAATAAGAATCGTGAATCGTGATAAAAACGATGAAACTGACAAAAAGTTGACAAAAAATTATTAATAGAAAGTAAATAAAAAAATATATATAAGATTAACATAAATCCGGTCATGAATAAGGTTGCAATTGTAATTGTCACCTATCATCCCAATTGATTAAACAAACACAATTGACACAATTGACTAAATACATAGTTAATTGTGAGCATCTTAAAACCAAATCAAATCTGAATTACCAAACTAATAAAAAAAAGCAATGAAGTTGATGATGATGATGGTTATTGATACACAGATTAATTTGCTCATTAAGATGATGATGGTTTTTACAATGAAATAAATGATGAGGATAATGATTGAGTTGGAGAGGAAATTTCATGAAAATGGATTAAGTAAATTACCTAAATAAACAGCAACTCCAATAACAGTTAATAAAGCGGCCAAAATAAGTATGGCCGTTAATAAGATGGCACAACAAGCCGGTGAACAGCAACGTCTTGTGAATGTTGATGAATCCCATGAGATTGTCGATGAGGCTTGGCAAGAGTTAATCATTGGCGGTATATGGTTATATGTGATAATCGAGGCTGGATGACTGTGCAGAGATGGTGCTGGTCCATATTCATCAATATTGTTTACCGTTGAGTCCCAAACAATGTAAGGTAAATCTTCAGGTGAAGCAACAAACCGACGGCCACACGAACCACCGCCATTGCCTCTAACCATTTTACAGGTCATTTTAATTCCATTGAATATTATTTTCTTTCAGGGTTAATTTGATATAAAACATGTAAATCTATTAAAATAAAGTAGAGAGAATATTTTCTTTTTCTTTTTTACTTCCAATCAAAAGGTAACAATAGAAATAAAAACAATCCTCTGGTAATTTTAATTTTCGACAAACATTCACAGTAATTAAATCCAAGGGGACATTTGAAGTTCACTTTACACTTACTAACAAGAGCTAATTAATTTAGAGATTGATCAACACTTAATTACAATTAACAAGTTTTTCTGTTACAAAGAAGTTGGAAGCAACAATCAAAAGTAACAAATGATTAATAAACAAAAAGAAGAAAAAAAAATTCGTTCTAACTAACATTCTCTTTCTCTCCACACTAGATGGCGCTTTGAAATTCGATTCCACGCCATCTGATGGAGAGAAGAGGAAATGTAATGAAAACTTTTCTTTCTTTTTTTATTCTTGACTGAACTTTTTTGGAACAATTAATTCTGAGTAAACATGGTGATTAATAGTAGAAATTTAATTTACCATGGTTTCTCAAAAGGTGAAAAATCATTTGTAAGAAGAGAAAAAAAGTTTTCTGTATTCATGAAAAGGAAGCAAGAAATTTGGTAAAAAAAAGAGAGAGAAAAGTTGAAAACAAATGAGAAACTTTTTCAAAAGAAGAAACTTTTTTTTTGTTCTAATAATTTTGTTTTCTATCTTTTCTTTTCTCTATTTGTATTGGGCTTGACTGAATTATTATAAAAACAAACAGCCAGAAAAGGCTGTTTTTTGTGTACAAAAATGATAATAATAATATGAGATTAAAGGGCTAAAAGAGATTAGTTAATAAGCTTAGTAAGTCAAAGGATTGGCTGAGGAAAAACATTGTTACCTTGATGACCTCGTTTGTTTTACTGTTTATTTCACGCAAAGTTTAATCAAAATAGAGGAAAAGAAAGAGGCCCAGGCCACTCTCATCTCTCTCTTATCATCATCATCATCTTAAATTCTCGACGGGCCAGGTCATCTAAATGCTTTATAAAGCTCACATCATCATCGTTATTATCAAAATAAACATGTAAACATAAACAAAACTCAACAACATCTCAACCCGAGGTTAAAGATTTTCATATTTATTATTCGTATTGATTGTAACGATCAAGTTTAAATCATGTAGTCTAAATTGTTTTGGTGACAGTTAATTGTAGTTGTCCCAATCAATGTGACCCATTCAAATATTGGCAAAATTTCAAAATCTAATACATTGATATCGATACCTTTTGAACTTTTTATAATAGAACTCGATTAATTGTCTTTAAAACTTTGATAAAATTACTCTAAATTCAACTTAATTGGTTAAATAATGGTAATGATAATGTTAATCAATAAGAAAAATTGATTGTCTGATTAGAAACTAAATTAAATGAGAAACAAATCGTTTTGAACCTAATTTAACCTTGAAAAATTGAATTAACTTAATGGTTTTAATCAATTGAAACCAATTTAAAAGGTTAAATTGTTAACAGTATCAGACAGGTACCACAATTTAATTGTAATCAAAAGGAAGGAGATAAAATAAATCACAAAAAATAACGGTTTATTTTCATCTCTCTCTCTCTCTCTCTCCTTTTTTCAATCAACTTGATTATCCTCCTAATTATGATCAATATGATTGGAAGAAAAATCTTCCATATTAAATTGTTGATCAACAAATTGTTTTCCATTCTGTTGATCATGATTCAGTTGTTTACCTTTTCAAAGTTTACATTTCCAATCTTATTTCAATTCTGTTTCCGAATCAATCAACATGATAATATAATGATAATTATCCAGACACCAAATACAAAATACTAATAGCCAATTGCTCAACCAATTGAATTGTCAATCAAATTAAACTAATTTCTAGTTATATTGATAATAATAATCTCCAATGAAAATTAAGTAAATTATGATTATTGTTATGTTTCATTCTTGAAGGTTCATTCAATCAGATTGTTCAAATTCAACTCACCATGACCATCATCATGATATTTAATGGACATCAGATAATAATAATAATATTATCAAAATTTTCTCTTATTCTAAATCTAATCTTAATTGTAATCCCTTTTTCAGTTAATCAATTGTGATAATTTCACATCTATTATATAATTGAGACTATTTTAATAGCCTGACCAATGGTCAAAGGGTGTTAATTGAATGTACCTTATTGTTGTCGCTTTGTATTGATGTTTAATTAACTTTTTCTTAATTGTCTTTCTCTCTCATAATTAATTGATAATTTTAATATTAATCTGATGATTATGATTAATATAAAGGTTAACATTAGCACATTGACCTAATCTTTATTGTTAACTGTTAATTGTTAATGATGATGAGTGAGTTGATTAACTGGATTAATATAAAAATCTTACAACAGGAAAAATGTTGTTCCCGTTAATTGTTGTTGAATTATTTTTAACTGTTGTTAATCATTGAGTTAGTTAACATATTATTACAATTAAATAATTAATATATATGATAATTAATAGAGATTACATTTAAATTACAATTATAATCATTTTAATTTGATTTCTAATTTTAATTCAAACTTAAACATTTCTTAACTGATCAACAATTTAATTGATTGATTTTTTTTGTGACTTTTCTGTTTCTTATCTAATTAACTAGTGACCATTTAATTAATTACTTTCTACTAATTGTGATTAGAAAACAATTAGTTGGTTGAAGTAATGATCACTTTCATGTTGTTATTATTATTCAATTAAATTGATTAGTTCCATTAAACTTGAAATCAAATTGATTGGAAATTAATTAATTGGTTATTAATGGATAAACTTTTATTGATTAAAAGGATAAGAGGATGAAAGATTATAATTAGACATCATTGATGATTTGAACTGTTAAAAGGATGAAAAATGATAAGAAAAAAAGTTCCAATTCAATTCAATTGGAATCATGGTGATGATGATAAAATCGGATAAGAAAATGATGAAAAATTGAAGATAACATGTCAAAGAGAGAGATGAAGATGAGGATGAGGATGAGAAAGTACCAGAGGATAAGGAGGTTGATGAAGATGATAATGATGATGATGATCTTTGGTGAAAGGGTAATGAAGCTAATAAAAAGATGAGATAAGTTTGAAGGAGAGGGGAAAAAGTTACAGACACAATGGATAAAAGGATGAGGATGAAAAAAGATGATGATGAAGAGAAATCAAAATCCAATCCTTTTGATGTTTAGGGAAAACATCATCATCATCATCTTAATCTTCATCTCTATTCTCATCATCTTTTCATTTTCTTTTTCTTCTTCTTTGTATCTTTACAGACACGAGAAGAAAAAGGAATGAGAAAAAAATGGTAAGATAATGAAGATGAGGAAAAAAGATGAAGATGATTTGTGAAAATGTTTCTCTTTCTTTTTCTTTCTTATTGATGATGACTTGTTATTTCTCAGAGAATCTCATCTTCTTAGTGATAATAAATCAAAGAGTCGCTAACATTAGGCTCATTGAAATTCTCTCTCTCTCTCTCCTCATCTTCCTTCATCAATTTATCTCTACATCACCTTATCATCATGATCCACCATGAAGATAGTGTGGCTTTTGTTTCATCGGAATAGATTCTCATGAACAAGAATTTTGTCTGAATAATTTTCCGTCAACAAATAGAGCCCATTTTTAATCATCCTTTTAATTATCAAGCAATCTTTCAATTATCACTCTAGTTAAACTAACCAGTGTGTAAGAAAATTCATCAATCAATTTAATTGTCCGATTTTGATCAACTTTTGACCCAATTGTAAATATATTTATTATCAATATGATTAATTATGTCCCATTTTTCAAGGTCAATATCAGTCAACAATTGATAATAAAAAACAAATCTCACAATTATCAAAACAATTAAACCAATTTGTTGCCAATGAAACAAACACAATGAAGATGATGATAAAGAAACAAGGATAACAATTAACAGTTGATGATATGACAGTTAATTGATTATCCCGATTATATAATCGCGTAATCAGTTAATTAGGATAATATTAATAATGGTGGAAAGAAAAAAAATTAACTTTCAATTCTAACCGTTAATTGTTATTTCTCATTGACTCTTATTTTATATATGAGATAATACAAAAGAAACATTGATTTAATATCCAATACAACAATTAAAGGGTTGATTAGACTCGCAATTAAAAGTGTCATTACATTAATAGTTATAATCTTCAATTGAGATGATAAGTTCAGGGAATAGAAAAAGTTTCATCTGAATGAAAGGAGATAAAAACTCTCAATACTATGGGAACTATTAGTTGATGATGATGCTTATGAACTTTTTCATGGTAATGATCATGATGAGAAAGTGGAAAAGATTTGTGAATATCTCTTTCACTCTCAATCACTTTTATTTGATTTCACCACCGGTAAGATTTAGATTGGATTTAACTAGGATTAAGTTCAGCATCAATCATCTGGAAATTCAGTTTATCGAACTGTCATTTCCAAGGTTTTCCTTTGGATCAAATTCAATATATTATGAATTTTTTTCATCGATTTTATCATATCAACATCAGTTTTAACCCTTTGACTTTGAAAGAAACACCATGAATTCTATTAGAATGACCTGAGTTTCTCAGTTTCATGGGAAATTTTCAGATGAACCAAAGAAAATTATTAAAGGAGAAAGTGATTCTGTACTTGATAAAGTACATAAACTTTAACCATGTTCAGGGAGATTCATTTATGGAAAAGAATCAGGAAAAGGTTTGATTGTCAATTGATTTGATGATTATGATGATAATGGTGATAATAGGAAAAGTGGTTGATTGTGAAAAGGACACTTAACAATGATAATATTGATAACAATTACATGTTTTAATGGACTCACTTTGATCAATTTGGGTGAACTCAAGTTTGTTCAGATTTTCTGATTCAATTTCAATGTTTATGTTTATCATCAGCAAGATAATCATCATCACATGAAGTAGGTGTTCATGTCTCTCTTATTAGAAGTAGGAAGATGATTATAAGATGGATTGAGAACCTCATCATCTCTACCGTTAGTAGTAACCATTTGATGGTCATTAACTTAATCCAGTTCCATTAGTTGAAGAGGAAAAGTTCTGACAAAATTTGGGTTGGTTTTTTTTCACTATTATTTTTATTATTTGTACCATTTCAATGAAGGTTATCATTATCACTGCTTATCTCCCATGTTACACCATGAAACTCATATTCTCCCACCTCCTTTGGTTCATCTTCTGTATCAATATTACATTTTCACTTGTCCACTTCCCTTGACCACCTTCATCTCTCTCTCTCTTTAATACATGATGATCATATTTTCACTTCCTTCATTGAGCTTTCAAATGATTATTATCATCATTTAGCTTGAAATTGATTCAATTACAATTATCTGATCAAATATTTATCTCCAAATGATGATAATCAATGTGATTAAGGTTTTCAAATGTTTGCCTTTCATGATAATATATTAATACATGTACGATTGTGATTACAGTTATTGTTACCCTTAATGTCCAACAATTGAGTTGTTATGATTAAATCACGATTTTGATGAAAAATAAAGGTCACCAGGGTCAATTTAATCACTTGAGCTTAATCATCTATCATGATCATCATCAAATTAAGTGTCCTCTCAATAATTACAATCAGTTATTAGTAACAATCAATTTTCATCACGAATCGTTTTTTTTACAGGGCGTTTACACCAATTAAAATCCGTTTTTTTTGTACAACTTTTGATCTACACTACCTACAAACATTTAACCAATATATTTCGAGTCGTCATATCATATGGCTCTATTTCAAGGTCATTCATCACAGCACGTGGTTAGAGGTCATTTAAAGATTTTTCTAAAAGTTCAAGAAACAAATCTGTTTAGTTGACCTGAACGCCTTGTATAGCATATCAATCTTATGAAAAATGTGCAGGAAGTTTATTTCAGCCAGAATTCATTCATCTTTCCAAAAATATATGCACAGTTCATATTCTTGAGTACATAATTCAAACACATATCCGTCCAGATACAATTGAACAATACATGTACTTCAAAAATATATTACCAAAGTTACGTTCGCGGGTTGATCACGATAAGTATTAATATACAGGGCTAATCGTCTAATATTTTTACTGATGAGTTCGAGAGACTCTAGGACTCATTGTTACCAGTTTACAACACGGTTCTTGATTCAATTCAAACTTTTCTTGATTTATAACTTATTCAATTGGAGCCTCGTTTAAATTAACTTCCTAACTTATTCAATGAAAGAATTAAAAATAATGACAGTTTTAGTTTTTAATTGTTCTACTAGAGGGCAGTAGTTAAGATGCATAAATAAATAATCTGAAAGATGATTTAAGTCGGACAATTAACTAATGATCTGAGATTTTTCAAGCAATTTATAGTAAAAAGTACCAAGATAATATTTAGACCCATTAAAAGGATACAATGTAATATCAGTTCCTAATGAATTCGAGGTTTTCTTTCTCGAAGTCGATTCAATTTTCTAAACTTTTTCTTCGACAATCAATTACGATTAAAAAATTGTTCTTATGAGATTGACGTTTTTTTTTCTTTATCAATTCCAAGAAAATGGCCTGATTCCAGTATCTCACATCAAAGAGAACTCTATTCTTTATCTTCTCTCATGAAACTATTCTATCATTAAGATTATCGAACTCCCAGTAAATTGTACTAATCATATTATCTTCAGAGATTGCGCCTCACATGAAGATGGAACCGTCTCATCATCCGCATCATTTTTTCTTCTCCATAATCATCTCTCTCTCTCTCTCTCTCTCTCTCTGGCAAAGATTTTTCTCTTCCACATCTGTACTATTTCCTTTTCTCATCCGCAAAACATTTAGACTCCACCATCAGTCAGTGTTATGTACACTTGTCATTCTCTCTTTTATCATCCTTCTCATCCTCATCCTCATCCTCATCCTCATCCTCATCAATAGTATCAACATCATCTTCTCACTTGATTTCTCTCCATAGGAAACCTCATACAGCTCTAATAGTGAACAAAAAAAAAGTCACCGAAAACTTTTGTTTCTCCATTTCAGTTTCATCTTTTTTTCTCATCCGCATCCTCATCATCTTTATCTCTGGTGTTGATTTTATTTCATCATCAAAGATATTTACTTTTCCCTCCAGATAAACAAAAATCAACATCAACTTTTCCTCTTTTCATTGAAACCTTGTCATCTAATTAATTGAACATTACCAAACAATTTAAACAGTTATATACATTATCATTGTCATTACTTGATGATCAAGTTAATTAACAACAATTCTCATCCATATGATAGTATCTAACAAGATTAATTGATTTAGTGTCGATCAACAATTATTATCAAATCAAAATTGGAAACTAACATGATGGTTTTACCGAGGACCAACAACAATCAAATCAATTTATCAACTGAATCATTTTTGATTGGATTAGTTGAGAGAATTGATAAATTGTTACTCAATGATGGTTATCGAAATCAATCAATGTCCCAGGAAGTTAAATCACTTGAATTTTGGCGAAGTTTAATCGCCGAGTGTTTATCAACCTTTTTCTATGTGTTTCTTGTATGTGCGGTCAACATTTCCTGGACTGGGTCACTTATCGGTCATACACCCAATTGGATTGTAATGTCGCTTACAAGTGGCCTGGCGATGGTCATTTTAACCCAATGTTTTAGTCACATCTCAGGGGCTCATGTCAACCCAGCGGTCACTTGTGCTTATCTGGTCACTCGTAACATTACACCCTTAAGGTCAATATTATATATTATTGCTCAATCGGGTGGAGCCATTGCTGGAGCTGCTTTACTTTATGGGTGAGTAGTAATGTCCAGTCTTGACCTCGAAAATTAAACAATCAGTAAAACAAACAACAACAATTAACTTTAATTACTTAATTTTTTTTCTTTCGTTTCATCTTCTCACTTATTATTTATCCAAATTGTCAACTTGTTGGTTATAACTATTATTATCATTTGATTAATTGTGTTAATTTACAATCAACACAATTAACTTTTAACTTTTTCCTTCAACCATTATGATTATAAATGTTTAATCATCAACAAAATAATAATAATTGTTGACAATGACATTATTATGATTAAGTTAAACTACCTGAAGAAATATAAAAAATGTTGATTTTCTGGTTATAATAAAAAAAAATTAACTTAATTTGATTATAATCAGCAATTGTTTATTAATTAACGATGACAGTTAATGTGACAATTAACGTTTACTATCATTATTTGATGAAAATCAATGGTGATTTAACAATAGATTACAAGGTTTAGGTTAACAGTTATAAGAAAAAGAGACAAATTAAATTGTATTAATATAATGGAAAAGAAAAATGAATAATAATTAAGTTTAATTGTGTTTGTTTGAGTTGGAAAGTGTCTAGAATCAATAATTATAATTGTAAATGTTGATCGAGACAATTAAAAAGGTGAAATTGTTAGTCGTTGCTGTTGAAAATTAAAGATTAATAAATTGTAAAAAGTTTCTCAAATTAAGTCCATCAGAAAGTGTTGAATCAATGCAACATTTACAATGATTATTATTACTATTAAAATAATCGTTGATTGTTGAACATTGGACTACATGAGTTGGAATTGATCGGATTAACTGGACCAGGTCACTTTGACAATGATGAAGACTACAGTCTAAGTTTGGCTGGAAAAATGAAGATGACGAGGATGGAGATGAAGATGAAGATGAAGATGAAGATGATGAATAGGATGGAGATCTACGGTTTAGTGTAGGTGGAGATTGAGGTGTGTAGGATGATGAAGATGAATCTCTATTTGTTGATTGTTGTACTCGATTTAAATTGGTTAATTCAATTTCATATTTAACTCTTTCAAATATTGATAGACTTGAATTGAAACAGCATTTACAGTCATCTGAATTGCCCATTTTAATACAGGTAATCACTTGGGAGGGGAAACGTTTAATTGCCTTTACCTGAGGCCCATTACAGTTATGATGAAGACAATCAACATCAAATAGATTTGATGATGATGATGATGATGATGAGCCTGAGCCTGAACCTGAATTTGATGAAGATGAATCATATGATGATGGTGCTGATTTAGATGATTGTGATGATGATTTTTTGGATGAAGGTGAGAAGAAGTCAAAAAAATTTGATTCTAAATCAAATGGATTACTAATGAAATTACGTGTTAATGATGAATTGTTATTATCATTATTGTTAACTGTTGATCCTTGTTGTTGTTGTTGTTGATTTTGTTTGGTTGAGGTTGATGAGGATGAGGATGAGGAAATTGATTTAGTTAGTGATTTAACACAACATTCACATTCACTTTCACCCGGATTACCATGGTAGTGACATTCACTGTTTGGATCATCAAGAGATTTAATTGCTTTCACTTGGTAATCATCACAACTTAATACTTTACAAATACGATTATCATCTTTACCTGAAGATGAAGGAGACGACGAAGATTGAGAGGAAGAGGAAGATGAAGAAGAAGATGATGATGATCGAGATCGTGTCATCAGTGATGAACCAATTAACCGGTAAAGTTTATCCAATTCCGCTCGATTAAGTTGTGACCTTAAACAGCAATGACATTGAGTGTCGAGTTGATGACAACGGATTTGATCAATGAATTCAGGTCCACTTCGAATTGCTTGAATGATTGAATCTTCACAAGTATTCAGGTAACATGGACTCGAATCAAAAAGAGGATCAACCAAAGGTGGTGAAGTTGTTGTTGTCGTTGTTGGTGTTGAAGGGAAAACAGTTCTACTTTGCCTTTCTTCACGATTATCATCCCAAATTGTTTGAAAAGATACCGAAAATTGTATTAATATTGATGATAAAATTACCAATCGGATAATCATGATAAACATGATGGAGACAATGATGATTTTATTATTATTATCACCAAACAAATGTAAAGATAATCCAATATACACAGACAGAGATAATCCTTTTCCTGTTGGTTTTAGATTAATATAAACAGAGGTAACAAGGTAAACTTAATGATTAGATTGAGATTTTGTTTTCCTGGTCCAAAGGGATTAAGATAACATTAGTAATGATTAGACTTAATCATTGAGACACATAAACAACAACAAGAAAAAGTGAAACCAAAAATACAAAACCAGAAATTCAGAAACCAGATTAAGTTGATTGTTGTTGTTGCTTGTTGATGTTGATTAAGTTGGTTAACTGCCAACAATGGATTAAATTTCTCAGAATTAAGGTAATATGATGGTTTTTTTTCATGGGAATAATTATAATAGTAATGAAATTACTTTTAATCTTCATCTCATCATCATCACAATCGTCAGGCTATTATCATGTTTGAAGGGCTTTCGACAAACAAAAAGTAACATCAACATGTTAATGAGAGAAAAAGTTAAACTCGAAAACTCGAGATTTAGAACTAAAAGTTTTCGCTTGTTGTTACTTTTTTATTACTATTACATTGACCAGAATTGTTGTTGATTATATCAAATTAAATGGACACTAATAAAGAATATGATGATGATGATAATTATGATTATGATTAAAGTTGAGAAACAATTAGATTGTATCTTTAATAAGAGAGCTTGGAAAAAGTTAATTGGACTTAACCTTGAAAAGAAAAATTTTCTTAATGATCTTAAATTGTTCATCTTTAATTGTGGATAGTTCAAGTTTCATTGGCTTCATCATCAACTTGTCTTCCTTGAAACTCACAATCAACATGATATTATGAATATGATGATAAAAAATGAGAGAAATGATTAGATATGATAGATTTATAAGAAAAAATTCATTCAGTGGCTACAATTTTATTCTCAGAACTTTTTCTGTTTTTTTTTCTGTCTCTGAATAAACATCATGGTAGATATTTGAATAAATTATATACTCATCATTGAACTTTTCCATTCTTCGTCAAATTTATCACATAACACAAATGCTGATTGTTTACATTTTCATTATCATAATTACAATAACATGATAACCAGATCATTATCTTGATTATCATGAAATCCTAAGTAACCAATCAGTGAATCAAAGCTTTCAAATCTCATGATGATTTCATTTACAATGGTTCAGGTTTCAAGATTAACTTTATTTCAGTTAATCAGAAAACTTTTCATCCTGATAAACCATCGCCATTTATTTTCCTCTCTCATTCACCTTATCTCCATCACTGGTTGTGTTTCTTACTTTTCAATTTTTCACCATCATCATGATGATGATCACGATGATGAAGATGGAAAAATCAATCGATTTTCCCAAACCAAATTCTTACATTTCTTTCAATTCCACCACCATCATCACCTAGCCATCTATTTCCTCTGATTCAGTTCAATATCATTCTATTCCAATGGTTAAAATAAATATCGATGATTGTAGTTGATTACTTTTCCTTGATTAACTAGAGAGTTAATCAAACATTTTGAGGTTTTTTTTATCAATTCTCATTCATTAATAGTTATTAACAACATCTATTCTCATTGTTGTTGATTAACTTTTTTTTCCATTTCTCGATTGTTGTTAATTATCACCATCTCAATTGTTATATTGAACTTTTCTCACTCAGCTATTAACTGCTATTAACTTTCATACACTGTACACATACACTTACAATTAACTTGATTGTGAAAAAAATATTATATATAATTCAGTTACTGTTGATTAAATTGTATTATTGTGTAACTATTTATACACAATTCCCATTAACATTGTTATTACTATTTTGACCATTGACCAAACAATGATTAAGTTTTTTTTTATCATCAACATCATTATGATCATTATTTTAACACATACACACACACAATAAACTATTATCATGTACAATCATCATCATCATAATCAATCAATAAATTGTTCACCGTTAACTTTGAACAAAATCAAATGAAAAAATGAAAAGGTAAACATGATGATGATGGGAATCAATTGACTGATCACTCAGCCTTTTGTTATGTACCTTTGATAACTTCATTGTATTATCGTTATTATTATTATCATCATCGTCCATTGTGATGACCATTAACAGTTTAGTAAGTGAAGGGCAAGTGAAAAGACAGAGAAATAGAAATTCAATTTAACAATCAAAAAAGTTTTCGATTAACTAATTATCGCATTCGAAAGTAATAATCGAGTAAGAGAAACTCAGAAACTTTCACCTGGATTAGAACTCTCGTCATATACAGAGTTGGAACTTTAGTTTCACTCTCTCTCTCTCTCTCGTTTTCTCATTTATTACGTTTCTTGATTGAACTTGTGGTTATCATTTTCATCTCTTGATTCTGATAAATGAACAGAAAATCATGATCCTTATCATGATGACGATGAAAAATCAACATTCTGGTTCTGTTAGATTTTCATTATTTTTATATCACTTTCCATGAAATCGAGTCATTCATGGAGAAATCATGTTTTTCCACAAGTTTGATTCCTCTATTGGAAAATTATGTATAGCAAATAGAAAAATATTCGCCATTGGAAAAAGTTTCACATCGATTTTTCTGAATTTTGGAAAAACAAAAAGTTCTAAATGTTGCCACAAGCTCCACTATTACTTCAATAAAAACTTATCGAGATATAATTTAACTTTTCTCACTTTCTTTCTATTAATCAAGATTAATCATTTTGATCTTGTGTTGCTTTTTTTGTCCTCAATTGCAATTAAACTTAATTATCAATCTCTTCCGGTGGTTTAATCCTCTGTGTGACCTTCACATTAGGGATCCATTATAAAAGTTGGATCATCAATCAATTACCAAAAATTGATCAAGATAATTGATTAACTTTTCTGTTAATTAATCTTGATGACAACAAATTAGC